AGTAGCAGTAGTTGGTTCAGTTGAGTTGCCTGTGATCACAGTTATTGTGTCAAGTAAGAGGGAATATGAAGCCGGGTCTTGACCCCCTTGCCAGTTCTGGAGTGGACACTATCATACGCAAGACAAAATTCTTTGATCCTTTGAAGTATTGAAGAATGACACTAGAGGGCGCTATGGTCAGTGCCTGACCTCCTTTTTAGAGACCGTGACCAGGATAAGTGCTACCAGGAAACACTCCCCCCACTCCCAGCTGTCCTTAACATCAGAAAAATTTCTGGCAGTATGAGCCCACGGCTCTCAGGGTCTCTTATCTTCTGGAAGCTGGCACAGCCTTCAGCCTGTCGCCTTCTCCTTCAAAGCTACCCTATCACACCACCTTTACCCAGATTTAGTTTCCTGATCCCAAGAAAACATAGCTAATCCATTCCCACTGCAATGCACATTATAGGTAACAACTTCGGTGAAGTATTGCTTGTCCCAGGAGGACTTGTATTGTAACAATAGTCCAGGTCTTGAGCTAAAAGAATATCTTTTCTATGGGAGAATTACAAATATCAGTAGATCATTGGAAGTTGGTAAGGAAGGAGAAAAGCAACATGATTTACTAGAAATCACACTGGACTGGAAATCAAGGGACTTGAATTCTAGTGTCAGCTTGGCCACTCGCTAACTGATAGCCGCTTCCTTTCTCTGAGACTATTTTCTCATTTGTAAAATGAGGTTAGATCCCCATGCTTCCTTCCTTCTGTCTTTAAGTTTCTGCAATTCTAGCACCTTTTCCTGATAAGTCTGTCCCTAGAATGTTTATTACCCAGGGCTTACTTAAGCCCAATGGTGTCTGTGCTATTTCTCTCTCACTGCTGTGTGCCAAAGCTGATGATTTAAAAACAAACAAACAAAACACTTAACCCGCCCAAATAGGCAAGCACAGAATTGTGACCACTGAACAATGACTGGCTGTCCTAGATTGGAGTAGCCCACCCTTCTTCTGAAAACCTCTTTATGAAAAAAGAGTTGTCTGGGTGATGGAAGGTGTCAGGGGAGGGGAAAAGGAGAGAGACTGCTTTGTTTCTATAGTAACAATAGGAACCAATGAGGAGACTGTTAACAGAGAAGAATGATTTCCAAGGTTCTTTAACTCCCTTCAGGGGTTAGAGGTGGAAGTGGAAATCTGATAGGAAGCTACCACATCCTTGATTTCCTTTTAAATCCTAAGAGACTAGGATGTTGACTTGATCTCTTGGGAAAGTGTCCAATTTAAGGGCCAAGCCCTGATCTACCCAAAATTTTTTATTGCTGGTGAGGGGAGAGGTTCTTTTTGTTTTTCTAAAGCACTTCTCTCCACCCTCACTCCCCAATTCACCCTAAGCTTCATAGTTTTCCAGAGGGCTCCATTTTTGACAGGATAGCTAGAATAGTTCCTCAGCTCTTGATTTCAGGGATCCCTAGAGTTCAAACCCTTTTGGTGTTTGGGAATTGGTTTCAGACAAAAGTTTGGCTTGTTTTGCACAGCTGAGCTTTGGGAGAGGTCTCATGGACAATACCCAGTTTTGTTCACCCATAAGAGGACTACCCAAGAAAGTCAGTTTATGTGGATCATTTTATGGGGCCCTGAGGATGAAAGGGGGTGGGGATGGGGCTTAGGGTAGGGTAAGGACTGAATAGATATGCTAATAACTTAACTAGTAACCTATTCTCCATTGCCTCAGAAACCTTCACAGGAGCTGTTTCTTCATCTACCTGCTTATCTGGCATAGCATCTCAGTGTAGGTAAACACAGCAAGAAAGTCCTTTGAGAGAAATCCAGGTAAGAGACTGGGGAGGGTATCTTTAAAGCATTAGCTTTTTATTCTTAACACCACTTTGGGTAAGTGTGCTTTTCCCTTCCCTAAAGAGTACCTTGCCAGTATCTCCCACCAAAGAGGAAAGGGCACCAAGACTCAAGACAGAAACATAACTCATACTTTATGTAGCGCTTAAATGTTTTCAAAGTATTTTCCTTACCTTAAGCCTGTAAGGAAGCAGTGGAAAGAGCCTGGAGACAGATGACCTGGGCTCAAATCCTGTCTGACACTACCTGTGTGACCATCGGCAAGTCACTTAAATTCCCTGGGTCTCAGTTTCCTCAACTGGAAAAAAATGAGGCAGTTGGATTAAGTGAGCTCAGAGGGCCCTTCTGGCTCTGGATCTATGATTCCAGGTCAATAAAACAAGTATAGTTTAAAGAGGAGGAAACTGAGACCCAGAGTTAAGTAACTTGCCCACAGCTGGACAATAAATGAGCATCAGAATCGGGATGCCAAGAGAGGTCTTCTGACTGCAGGCCCAGTTGCCATTCCATTCTACCATGTTGCTGAGTTCATTGTCAGCTAAGATTGATTGTGACTTTAGGCAAAAGGATTAACTTGTCTAGATTGCCTTCTGTGCCTTTAAAATATGATGTCCATATCTTTCAACATCCTGTGGGGTTGGTGCATAAGAGAACTGATTGACCAGCTCTGAGCTTTTTGGAAGAACAACAATATTGAAAAATACTTCCGTGGGTCAGTTTTCTGCTATGACGAACTTCAAACCTGTGACAATTACTTCAATTCTGGGGGGTAGGGCAAAGGTATGGGTTTCTTCCCTTATCATACAACCAAACCTGGCAGGGAATTATGGGCTAGGCTGGGCTGAAGAGAGGAAATGCTTTGTAGGTCTTCTTGCCTCCTGTTCTGTAGCTATTTTAATACTCAACTGTAGTATCGTCATCCTAGAGTTCACGTTCCCCTGTTCTTTTCCCAAAGCATAAAGCAGCCGTTGAAATTGCCCATTCGGATTCCTCTCCTGAAGCGTTGCCTTCCATCAACAGATCTGCCATCACACTCCCTTGCTGTCGCTTCCTTCTTCTCTCTCTTATCTCATTGACTGCGAAGCCAAGCTCTCTTAAATCTTTCCAGATAACATTCTGTTCTTCTGATAAACTCATTGTCCTCATGTGTTAACAGGAAAATGGACTCTCCGATTTGGGGCTCTCTCCAGTTTATTTATAGCCTTCCAAGAACAATGCCCTCATTACTTGAGCTTTCTGTTGTACAAATCTATTGTTTTGACGTTTACAAAGTAATTAAAATAATAAAAAAGCACAAATCAGCACAAAGTTGGTAAAGTTAGAAAGTCTATAAAATATTCCTTCTAAAATGTTATGTCGTAAGTCAAATGTTATGTTATAATAATATTATATTACAATAAATATTACATTGTGATATATTATAGTAAATATTATGAGAATACTACTCTTATAAGATATTTTAAGAAGTGGCTCTTGGCTCTTGAAAGGCTGATGATCCCTCTTCCAATGCATGACCTCTCCATTTTCTCTCCTATGACTGCAACAGTGAACCCTCTACTCTAGCTACCCCAGTCTCCATATTTCTTTGGTCATGAGATTCTTGTTCCTACCTCTATACCTTTGGTACTACTGCCTGGAATGTCTTGTGTCTGTTGAAATATGAAGGCCTAGGTATAAGGACATTTTCCTGATGTCCTTTAGAGTACCTGCTGATTTTTACTACTGATTTTGACACTCAATTACATATTACAAGTTTAATGACTTCACATATTAATTTTTTACTTTTCTAATGAGGTAGAATACTGGTTTTTATTGTATCTTTGAATCCTTAATATGTAGTACAGTGCCTTACACATGGGTAGACTTTGTTGACTCAATCTGGATTTTCTCTCCCCAGATAGATTTGGCAGTTTCTGGGGAACAAGGGACCTTGTCAACTACTCCCCAACCCATGACTGCTACCATGCTTCCTTCTTCCTCATTCTACCCTTCTGGCTTCATTCACACACTGTCCTATCTCTCCCACAGATGACTAAGTATAGTGCTAACTATGCAGTAGAGCCTCAGTAGATACTTGTTGAATAATTAAGAATAATTAAAGTGTATGCATTAACTGTGAGAACTTGCCACTCTTGGGAATGAATAATTGGGTTTCCATGATGATTCAGAATTTACTAGGTCACTGGGAGAAAAAATGTAATCCATAAATACTATGCTGTTCCAATTAATTTTATTAAACACACTTAGCCTCACTTTGGAAATCATTCTTTATACTTGGCAGTTTGTGTTAAGCATCCTCCCAGTGCCGGTTTTGCTACATCGGTCATTTTCAGGAATTCGACAAGGGAGTTGGAGAGCCAAAATTCATAGGTACCAATTTCCACTAAGGTGGATGAGGTCAGAGAGACTTGCAAGTTACTTCTTGGGATCATAGTAACACACAATTTGTGTAGGGCATTAAAGTTTCCAAAGCATTTTACACATATCTCATTTGCTGTTCGCAACTCTCTGAGGTAGGTATTGTTACCATCAGACAGATGAGAAAACCATGGTCACGAGGACAGTAAGCTTCTGAGGTGGGTTTCAAACCCAGGTATCCCTAACTTTAAGTCCTTGATTCTATCTACTCTTCCATAACGTTAGAGCTGGAAGGACCTTTAGGAGTCTTCTAGGCCAATCCTCTCATTTTACAGAAGAGGAAACTGAGGCTGAAAGGGGTAAAGTGATTTTCCTTACATCACACAATTAGTTAAGCAGCAGAACCAGGAATTAACTCAAGTTTATCCAACATGTAAATAAAGAGCTTGGAATAGAACCAAGAAAACAAATCATTTTTGAGTCCCTGGGGGTGGGAGAAAGTTGTAGGGAAAAGGTAGAGGGATAGTGCATCTCAAGGAATTCAGATGGCAACATCAGGCAATTTCTCTGTGATTTGAGTAAGTAAATTACAGGAGGTTAGCAGAGGGCAGGGTATTCATCTCTGGTTAGATATTGTAGGCACAAATGATCTCATAGTTATCTCTTCTCCAGGTCAGCTTTGGCCTCTGCCCGAATCTTCCTGAGCTCTGGGTTTAGCTAAGGTCTCCCGGCTGTCTTCAGCCTTCCTCCCACACGAACTTCTATTCTGTTTCCCCATTACAGTCACAGCCTTGGAACCAACTTCTCTGCCATGTCTGACTCTTCTTTGATATACTGCAGCTGCTGGGACCCTCGGAACTTGGGATCAAGGAAGCTTGCTAAGACTTCCCTATTCTCTCTCTCTAGAAGGAAACCCAAGTAAGGAGTGGGAAGGGCAGGAGGCTTCTTTCAAGGGTGGTGGTTGTTGGTGGTGGTATTCTGTCCTGGACAAGTACTTGTTGAATAAAATAGTAAACATGTCAGTAAAAACTCAAGAAGGCAGAGACATGCCAGCTTGGCAGATAACCCCTTACAAAGCAAACGAGTTGTGCCCTGCATTCCCAGGGACCTTGAACATACTTTGCAACGTCTTGTCAACCTTACCCCCATACAGAGTACTCATCAGTAGCATCTTAAAATATAAAAGTGTGTGACCCTGGCCAGGTCAACTTGGCAGTGCCCTAAGGCAAAGCATCTTGCCTAGACCATAAGTTGCAGAGAAGGTGCTAACCTGGACTGGTAGGTTTCCTTATCTGGGAGTTCCCTATACCAATGAAATCACTGATCCAGTACCTAGCCTTAAGTATGGAAGATATGTTGTTTTTGTGGTTGAGTCTATCGGTCATGTCTGACTCTTTGTGACCCCATGGACCAATTGTTCATGGGGTTTCCTTGGCCAAGATATTGGAGTAGTTTGCCATTTCCTTCTCCAGTGGATCCAGTGGATCCTTTTGTCAGGCAGAAGTTAAATGACTTGTCTAGAGTCACACATCTACGATGTGTCTGAGACTGAATTTGAACTCAGGTCTTCCTGACTCCAGGCCCAGTTCTCTATCAACTGAACCACCAGCTGATATATAATTAGTAAATGAAAGGTGGAGGAGGTTAAGGGGGAGGAGAAAGAGGGTGGGGAAGGAAAAAGAGGAGGGAGGGGGAGAAAGGGAAGAAGGAGGGGAAGCAGAAGGAGGAGGAGAGGGAAGGAGGAGAAAGGTGAGTGGGAAGAAAAGAAAAAGGGAAGGAAGAGAAAGAGTAGGGGAAGGAGGAGGAAGGGAAGAGCTGTAAAGTAGGGCCTCAATATTGTAGGATTTAAAGCCTAAAGGGACTGTGGTGACTATCCAGTGACCAACCCCCTCATTTTACAGAGAAGGAAATTAAAGAGATTTTTACACCACCAAGACTACACAGGTTCCAAACAGAAATGGGATTCGACTCAGATTTTGTGACTTCTGATCCACTGAGCTTTCTAGTACGCTATGCTAGTACACTTTCTAGTGCACTACTTAACTTATTCGGTTAAGGGGAGCTTCCTTAAAGGGAAAACGCTGCTTCTTAATATTTTTCAGAATGATAGACTTCATTTTGAGGAACAGAATGGGCAGAATTCCCTGTAAAATACCTTCCAGTCTCCCCTACCTATAGGGAAGAGTTAAATTAGGTGGGTGTTGGTGGTGTCTCCAGCCATAGGATTCCCTGAGATGGTATGATGAGTTTGACATTTAGTGTTATTCTGTGTCTATGTGTTTAAACCAGTTTTTCTCTTTTTAAAAATATGTTTTGAACAACCAGATTAAGCCCTATATCATCTGCCTTGAAGGAGCGAAATTATTTCCTACCACCACAAATTAAACCCCTCAGTGGCCCAAGGTAAATATCCCTACCTGCTTGGAATGGTACCTGATTGAGATTGATAAAAAAAATGGTTACTACCCCTGGGCTTCTTCAGTCCTGCCTGATTCCTACCTGTTGTTGTTGTTCCGTCTTTTCAGTAATTTCTGACTCTTTGTGATCCCACTTGGGGTTTTCTTGGCAAAGATACTAGAGCGGTTTTTCATTTCTTTCTCCAGCTCATTTTACAGATGGTGAGACTGAGGCAGAGAGGTTAAGTGATTTGTCCAGGTTCACACAGATAGTAAGTGTCTGAAGCCAGATCTGAACTCAGGAAGATGAGTCTTCCTGACCCCAGGCCCAGGGTTCTATCCACTGTGCCACCTAGCTGCCCCCTTTATTAATCACTATTTTTCGTGTTGTGTTATATCATCTCTGAAGGATGTGTTTAGTTTTTCTGCCTAGTCCAAAGAGTGATGATGAGAAATCTGTATATTCTTTAATTATTTCCATTAAGAAGATACCACAGGTCTCTCAAATCTAATTTTTCTAACAGTGCATATTTAATTCTTTATTTTCCCTTTTTTGTTTATCTTTCTATTAGATTTATCCAGTTCTAAAATAAGAACAATAAAGTCTCCTACAATTGTTCTGTTACTCCTTTTTGCAAAGCTTTTCTTTATTAATTTAAAGGCTATGCTATTTGGTGCAATTAAATTTAATAATACTGTTTAGTTATCTATTTTCTCTTTAAGTATAATTAATGTAACTTTTATGTTTAGCTCTTTTGACATTGTGGATTTTTAAAATTGCCTTATCCTGTAACATGATTTTAACTCTTGCTTTATTGGAATCACCTGATGCATAGTAAATTCTGTTCCTATTTGTCATTTTGATGTTTTTAAATGTGTTTTCATATGTAGCAAATTATTGGGTTTTATTTTCTTATCTAATTTGCTATTCTTTCATTTTATGAAAAATTTTAATTCGTTCTTAACATATGAAGTTACAATTGGCATTTTCCTCCATTTATTCTTTTTGCATTGATTTTCCCCTTTTTCTTTTAAGTCAGCCCCCTGACTCTGGGATTAATTTTGCTTACACTAATATGATCCCAGTCTTTGTACACAGGCTGTCCATCCCACTTGTTTTCCCATCCACCACCTCTCTGCTTCCTATTTACCTTCCCTATATCAAGTTCCTTGGACTTACTTAGATTGTTAGTCCCCCTTTCTATTTATTTGTATATTCTTATCCACTATCTCTTTTTCAACTTTTTCTATCCTCACTTCCCTTTATATCCTGCCCTTTACTCTTTTCTAATCTCATTATTTGAATACCATTCATTTGTGGCACCCTTTTCCAAGACATCTCATCCTTAATGACCACCTTTGGCATCTAACCATTCATCCAATTCTGAATCCATATGACTATACTACCATCTAGTCCATATTTCTTCATCTTGTCCACAAAAATAACATGAAAGATTTCATCAAATACTTTACTAAAATCTAGGTAAATTATATATATATATGTATTATTCACTTGAACTACCAGTCAGAATGATTAAAAAATAATAAAATTAGTCCAGCATAACCTGTTCTTGACAAAGCCATGCTGGTTCTTCGTGACCACCCCTTCATTTTCTTTTCTTTTCTTTTTTTTTGGCTAGGCAATGGAGTTAAGTGACTTGCCCAGGGTCATATAGCTAGTAAGTGTCATGTGTCTGAGGCCAGATTTGAACTCAGGTCCTCCTGACTCCAGGCCAGTGCTCTATCCACTGCGCCACCTAGCTGCCCCCACCTTTCACTTTCTAGGTGTTCACTAACATCTTTAGTTATGTGTTCTATACTCCATTTTCTTCCCTGTTTTGAAAGATCAAGACTACATTATCTTCATCCATATAACATCTCTACCATCCTCCATGATCTTTCAAAGATCACTGGCAGTGGCTTTATAACCACTGGTTTCTCAATACCTAAAGATGTTCTTCAGGGCTTGGTGGTGATTTGAACTCAATAAGGACAGCTTAGTGTTCTCTTCCTGTCTTTCCACTTGTCTTTCCACTTGTCTTGGAGTGGAGCCAGCTCCCTACGAGCCATTTGTTCTGTCCTCTGCAGTCTGTGAGGGTGAGTGCCACAGCAGATAGAGAAACAGCCTTGAAGTCAGGAGCCCCCACCTACTGGTTGTGTGACCCTGGTCAAGTCACTTAACTTCTCAGTGCTCAAGGCAATTTTTTAAAACCTTAGAAGATGCTTACCTGCATTGGAAAAGGCACTTTCCTCATCTGGGAATTCTTTATACCAAGATCACTGTGAGTATCCTTGAGATCATCCTGGCTCCAGGCCCAGTGCTTTATCCACTGCGCCACCTAGCTTCCCTGTCAAAAAAAGAAACAAAACAAAACAAAACAAAACCAAAAAACAACATATATGTGTACACGTACATGTGTACACATATATGTGTATGCGGTTGACAAAATGATTTCCTCCTAGCAGCCCTATGAAATCAGTAGTTAAAGCATCATTATTAGCACCTTTCAGATCTCCCTGTCTACCATGTCCCATTGCCGCTCATTATAATTATAATTTTGTATTCCACGTATTTGTATACACGTCTCATCTCATCTACTTGATTATAAACAACTTGAGATCAGAGATCATTTTTTTTATTTTTGGATGCCCCAAAGTGTCCAACTCAGAGTCCTTTGAAAATACTTGACACAAAGGGATAAAGACTGGTCCTAGCACCATGATTTCATTGACATGGTTGTTTTTGTTCTTGTTGTTCAGTCAGGTCTGACTCTTTGTGACCCTATGTGGGGTTTTCTTGACAAAGATACTGGAGTGGTTTACCATTTCCTTCTCCAGTTCATTTTACAGGTGAGGAAACTGAGGCAAACAGGGTTAAGTGACTTACCCAGGGTCACATAGCTAGTAAGTATCTGAGGCCAGATTTGAATTCAGTGTGATGAGTCTTCCTGACTCTAGGCCCAGCACTCTATCTACTGTGCCTCCTGGCTTCTCTATGCTTGATATATAGTAGGCACTCAATTAAAATTTGTTGACTGAATTCACAGGTCCAATCCCTATCCCTTTCCAGGGCAAATGTCCTTCTCTTTCCAAAGAAATCAGAAACAAAATTTAGTATCATTATTCTGTCTACCAGATGGCTCCTATACTTTTTTTGGTCTTTTCTCCAATTTGGGTAAAAAGGATGCTTTTTGTTCTCAGCTAACCTCACCAGCCTAGCTCCTTTTGATCTTTTAGAGCTCTTGTTGCTATCGTACATTGCCATGTTATAGTTTGTCTTCATCATCCTCCATTACTTTCTACCACTTGGGGATATGTCATTAATGGGCTACGTGTGCATCCACATCTATTTAGACAGCTTCCCCTTTTCTTCTTCATCAGATTTGTTTCTCTTTGTGTCTTGAGAATTCCTTGAAGAGCTTTCTCCTGAGACTGGTTCTGCTCAGCCGCAGCATGAGTAGGAAGAACACTGATAGAACTTGCTGAGAGCACAATTTAGTCTTGATGTCAGGAAACAGCCGCTGACCCAAAATGGAATGGGATAATTTGGGGGCACGGGTGGTCACCATTGCTAGAGATACGCAAGCAAACGTTAAATGGCCTCTTGTTGGTTAGGGGGAATTTTTGTATAAGTATGAGTTGGACCCAGAACAGCTAGCTGGTGCAGTGGATAGAGCACTGGGCCTGGAGTCAGGAAGACTATCCCCCTGAGTTCGAAACCCATCTCAGATACTTACTAGCTATGTGACCCTGGGCAAGTGACTTAACCCTGTTTGCCTCAGTTTCCTCATCTGTGAAATGAGCTGGAGAAGGAAATGGAAAACCACTCCAGTATCTTTGCCAAGAAAACCCCAAATGGGGTCACAGAGAGTCAGACACAACTGAACAAAATGAGTTGGACTAGATGGCATAATTCCCTTCCAACTCTTGGGATTCTTGATTCTGTAAAAATGTGGGAGATTTTGGGGAAGAGAGATTTTTCAATATTTTTTAAAATATTGTTATTTAGAAGATAAGCAACTTTCTTTTATATGTGGTCTTCTCCCACTAGAATTTCAACTCCCTGAGGGCAGGTACTTTCTTCTCATATTTGTATTTCCAGTGCTTAGCATAGAACACAGTAAGTGCTTAATAAATGCTTATCTACTTCTTGACTAATATTGACTTAAGTGAAATGTTTCTTTCCCCATTGTTGCCAAATAAATAAGAAGTTGCGCAGCTAAAGTACAATTGAGATAATTTTACAGTTGGTAGAACATTGAGGTTTTTTTAAAAAAAATTATTACATTTGTGTTTGTCAATGAAAGTTACTTTGTATACATACATATTGAAATGTCAGCTATCATCTCAAAGATCATCAAAATAGAAATCGCTGCAGTCCCATGTATGTGCAAAACTGTACCTTTTATTTCAAATTATGCCCTATGCCCCCAGCCTTAGTACCCCTAAACTGGGTCTTGCAAACTATTTTCCAAAGTAGGAAGCAATAGGCCTATGGTCAGGATGCCTCCATTCTTCTACCACCATATTGAGATTGTAAGAGAGATAGGCTTTCCAAACAGAGGAGACCTTGAAGGTCAACAGAGAGCACCCCTCCCCAACTCCCTTAAACCTGAAAGAGGAAGGATTCTACACCTTCTCTATCCCCACCCCTGCCCTAACCCCAGCCCCTTGCTTTGCCATAGGAAAGAGAAAGCTTTCCTCTTTCATCCTCATACAGGATCTTCCAACCAAATTTCCAGGTATGAGAAAACTGCCTGCAATTTCCTCAGTGCAAACAAAAGTCATTGATGCTTGTTCTGTTAGGCTGTTTATTGAGCATAATAATAATAATCGTAGTAGTAGATAATGATAAATAATCTAAACTCTTGCTTCATCACACCAACATCATGAGAGGTTTCCATACCTAACTGGTACTCTGAGAAATCTGCAATGGTCAGCTTTTCTTAGGGATTTGAGGCTTCAGAAAGACAAAAACAGGAGACTCCAAAACTTTGTGTTTGTCTGTAGCTCACTGACAGTCTTTTTTCTTACAGAGGACCCATGCTTTTCAGAAATAATACACCGCAAAAAGAAAAGAAAGCCCCTGAAGTGAGTAAAACAAGTGACCTTTTTTATAGAATTTTGAGTCAGACTTTAGATATCAACTAGTCCAACCATCTGCTGTTATAGATGAGGAAACTGAGCTCAATTTATGCATTTATACACAAAGTGATTTACTTGACATTTATACACTAAGTGATTTACTTGACATAGGTAATCAGTAGTAGAGATAGGTTATGAACCCAAATCTTCTTGGCTCCAAATCATCTACTCTTTACCACCATGTTGCTTTTTTAAAGGCCAATGTTTTCTCTAAATTAGGGAAAAATAAATACGATTATAGTTCAGGTCTCATCTGGAGTGGGAGACTAAGATGGGACTTAGCAATGCTGTCTATGATTTTCTTTATTTTTAATTAAATTTTCAATTAACAAGCATTTATTTTCTCTCCCTTTCACTTCCCCAGCTCCCAGTGGGGAGAGGGGAAGGGAGAAAGAGAAAGAAAACCCTTGTATCACAAATGCAGAGGCAGGCAAAACAAATTCCCACACTGACCATGTCTAAAAATGTACGTCTTGTTGTACATGTTTGCTTCTCTCTGCCTATTCTACATATTCACGTCTTTTATGAGATGAGTAATATCTTTTCATCATTGATACTGGGGCTTGCGTACTATTTGCCAGAGTAGGAGGCAATAGGCCACAATCATGGCTTGGGAGAGTTCCTAATTCTTTGAAAGTTATTTTGTTTGAAAAATGTCATTGTTATTATGTAATTTGTTTGCCTGGTTCTGCACACTTCACTCTGCATCACTTCATACAAGTCTTCCCAGGTTTCTCTGAAACCATCCCTTTTGTCATTTCTTTTGACACTGTAGTTTTCCATTACATTTACATATCATAATTTGTCTATAATTTTCTGTCTTGGGTGCTAACCTAGAAGGTAACTGTTTCACATAGAAGATGAAAAAGACTTAGATTCTTCTTGAAGGAGAGACCTTTCTTGCTTTTTCTAGAGGAGGTAGACAGAGAGGGGCAGGGGAAATGGAAGGAAGACTTGAAAGAACGGTAGAATTCTGAGCCCTTATCTGACCTTTTCATTTTACAACCCAGAACACAATAAAGATCTCTCCGGGATTCACCTACTCTCGAAGTGATGAAGAAATTCCAGTTATACTGGGAGATGAGATGTTTGAAAGGTCCAAAAAGCCTAAAGAACATATGGTCAAATTCATACTGCCCAGGTAATGCCCTTGATAAACTTCTAAAGGGGTAGGGGAGTCAGCAGAAGACATTCAGAGCTGGTTTTGCCTACTCTCCCCATGAAATAAACTCTAGAATCTGGCTTTATTGCCATTTTATGATGAAGAGGGTCCTGCCTTAGGACTCTAGTAAGCTCATACGAGTTAACCCAGTTATCCAGGAGTCAATTGGTCGATATACCAATAATCCATTGTCTGAACTACCCCTCTCATATGTTTCTGCTGTGTGGGTCATCAAATTTTCTTCTCTTGGCACTGATCCTAGAGGGTGGAGAGGAGAAGTTCAGATCATATCAGTCATGTAATCTGAGGAAGGGGATGTCATTATAAAAGAGAGACAACTCAGAGCCCTAGTGCCATGTCCTATGTCCCAGGTGTCCCTGGAATTTCAAGGGAAGCTCCAGATTCATATTGCATAGAATGGCCTATAAAAGCCAATTCAACTTCTGCTACAGATATATACAGCTATGTATGTTTATATAAATTCTGTGTTTTTGTAAGACTAATGAACTTTATGACAATCTGAATTTGGCTGGTAAGAACTGATAGAAAAGAATTCAATTTCTGGGAGGGAAGCCTGGACTAATATTTCTATTTAGTGATGCATAAGGATATCACAGATCAACTCATGTTCTAGGGTTTTCAAATCAGTGTAGCAAAACCAAAAAAAAAAAAGTCTAAAGAAAACAAGGTTAAACATTTATGAAAAGGGGGCAGCTGGTGGGTGCAGTGGATAAAGTGCTGAGCTTGGAATAGGGAAAAACTACATTCAAATCCCACCTCAGACACTTACTGTGCGACCTGTACAAGTCATTTAACCTTTATTTGCATCAGTTTCCTCATCTGTAAAATGGGGAATAACAGTACCCACCTCACAGGTTTGTTGTGAGGATCAAATGTGATAATATTTGTAAAAGAGCTCAACCCAGTGCCTGGCACATAGTAGGGGCTTTATAATCCTTATTCCCTTCCCTAAAAAGAATCAAAGGGATAGCTGTGGAATGGCATCAAACAGGAGACTGGGAGTAATAACAGGGCACATTTCTAGGATGTTCTACAGATTATAATGCACTTTACTTAAAAACAGCCTGAAAAGTATGTAGGGCAATAACTGTTATCCTCTTGTTTACAAAGTGTGTCTCTGAAAGTATTTTCCCATTTAGAACTGGGGCTTGACTAGTAGATATCTTCTCGATCAATCATTGAGCATTTATTAATTACCTCCTGACTCCAAATATAGTGCTCCCTCCCTGCCCTTTCTTCCCTGTTATCTGCTGAGCCTGACTTGATGTTATAGCAGTCTGGTGGGTGAGAAAGGTCTACTATAGTAGGAGCCCCAAAAGGCTTGTTCTGATCCAGGTCACGAAGTGTGCTAGGACATCAGTTCCCAGACCAACAGAAAAGTTATAGTATAGCAACAACAACAACAAGATTTGCAAAATACTTTACAAATATCTCATCTGATCCTCACAACAGCCCTAGGACATAGGTGCTGTTATTATTCCTATTTTATAGATGAGGAAACTGAGGAAGACAGAGATTAAAAGACTTGCCCGAGTCACACAGTTAAGTGTTTGAGACCAACTTTGAACTCAGCTCTTCCTGACTCCAGGCCCAGCACTTTACCAGGATGGATCCAACATGGCCCTAGAGTTTTCCTACTATACTGGAGTCTGAGGCCCAGAATGTATAGAGCTGGATCTCTCAGCTGGCTCCAGGTATGTCCTGGTCTCGGGCAGTTATACACAGATAGGCTGAAATTCCTCAGGGTGCAGTTGCGGCCTTCCCAGTCTGGACCTCCACTACTCAGAGGATTGAATCAGGATGGTACTGTTTGCCCTGCAACATTCAATTAATCAATCAAACAAATATTTATTAAGTGCTTTCTATGTGCCAGGTACTGTGCCAAGTGCTAGGGATACAGAGGGCAAAGCAGAATAACCCTTGCTTTGCAAGAGCTTATATTCTAACAGACAAGAAAACATGCATATACGTTGGTATACAGAACACATACAAATGAAATACAAGGAAACGCTAGAGAGGAAGGCACTGCCAGCTAGAGGGACAAGGAAAGTCTTCATGCAGAAGGTCCTAGCTGAGTTTTGAAGGTAACCAGGGATTCCAAGAGCTGTAAGTGAGAAAGAAGTGCATTATTGTCGTTGAAGACAGCCCCTGCAAAGTCTGGGAGATGTAGGAGACCACTGGAGTCCACTGAGTAAGGAGGTGGCATGGTGCTGTGGAGGATAGATTAGAGTGGGAAGAGGCTAGAGACAGGGAGACCAATTAGGAGGCTATTGTAGACCAGATGAGAGGTGATGAAGCCCTGAGCTATATTGCTAGCTGTATAGTTAGGGAGAAAGGAACACATGTGAGGGAGGAGCTCGTGAAGATAGAAAAGACAAAATTTGGCAACAGATTAGATATGAGTGAAACTGAGGAATAGAGAATAAAGACAAGATTGAGAACCTGAATGACTGGAAGGTGGTTCCCCTAATAGCAATAAGGAAGATGGAAAGAGGGTTGGGGGTAGGATGGAAGACAATGAGTTCTGCTTGGGACATGTTGAGTTTGAGATGCCTGTGGGACATCCAGTTTGAAATGATCACCAGTCAGTTGGTTGTTTAGGACTTGATTATAGCGGAGAGATTGAGAGTACACATATAGATTTGGGAGTTATCTGCATGTAGATGATAATTAAACCTATGAAAAGTGATGATGTCTAAAGTGTAAAGAAAAAAGAGGAGAAGACTCAGATGGGTGATCCCTGAGGTACACCCACATTTAGTAGATACAAACAACATGGATGGTGATCCAACAGAAGAAACTAAGAAGAGTGGTCAAACAGGTAAGAGGAGAACCAAAAGAGGAAAAGCAAGAGGTGTCAAAAGATGAGGATTGAGAAAGGGCCATTGGATCTGATAAATTACCATTAATAACTTTGAAGAGAGTAATTTCAATTAAGAGATGAAGTCAAAGCCTCCACAGAGTGAGAAGAATGTAAATGGAAACAAGTGTAGGCAGCTTTTTCAAAGAGTTTAACTGAGAAAGGGAAGAGAAATACAAGATGATAGTTAGTGGAGATGGTAGTATTTAATGAGGGTTTTTTTTTTAAGATTAGAGGAAAGTTAGAGAGGACTATAATGAAAAAGACATGAGGAGAGGGAATCAAGGGTGCTTGTAGAGGGGCTGACCTTGACAAAGAGAAGGGCCTACTCTTCAGGAATGAAGGAAAAAGCATTTGCACTTACTATGTGCCAAGCACTGTGCTAAGTGTTAGGGAAAACAAATACAAAAGCAGAAACAGTCTCTGCCCTCAAGAAGCTTACATTCTAATGGTGGTTGACAACATACAAAGAGGGACACTTTGGTCTAAGAAAGTTATGGAAATGATAATTAGGGACTAAGGGAGTATGGTGACACACACTATCCAGGTACAATGGAAGAGTTGATTTGATCGTGGTTCGTGGCTTCAAAATTGGGGTTGGAGGGGAGAAGAGGGAAAGGCTACAGTGCTGAAGTAAAGCCATTGGTGAGACTGTGGAAGAGATGGCCTCAGAATGACAAGTAATAAGCATAGTAGCAAGGGCTTTCCTGAACTAATGGTCTGATCTGGACTTCAGGACCCCAGGGCAGCAAGGTGGGTTGAGGCTGTGGAAGAACTGTCCTGAGCATCCTGGACATGACACAAAGCATCCGGGGCTTTCCTGAAACAGTGGTTCTGGGGGAAGTGGCCACCAACTAGGCCTCAAAGGCAAGGCCTTTGTCAAGGCCATGGAAGAGGCGGCCAAAGAGAATGTGGGAGAGAAGAGACTGGAGTAAAGGAGAAGATAATGGGGGATAATATCAAGGGGTCATGAGATGAAAAGGGGAGAAGGAGCTCCCTGTGAATGGGCCTAGTTTTCTTGGGAAAGTAGAGAATGAGGTCTTCAGCTGAGAGGCTAGAAGAAAAGTGAGGTAAGGCTTGAGAGAAGAGAAATTTGAAACAGGTACTGCAATAAACACCTCATTTTCTTTTCAATGTTGTCCCACGATTCCATGGTAGTGGGGGGAAATGGTCAATACAATAGAGTAGAGGCAATACCCATCCAAACTCTTGGTCTCATAGTACAATTCTAGCCAGCTGTGGTCCATGACAGTTCCTCATAGCCCAATTGCTCTTTATTTTCTCTCTAGGACCTGGGTACAGAAAGATATGTGAGTATTGAATATGTTGTAAATCAAGTTCAAAGAATGTGACTTTATTATTTGTTTCTTCTTCATTCTTTTATTCTGTCACCATCACATCTCATACTACCTCCTGTCTTTTCTTAACCTGTATTTTGTTCATTTCCCTGTCAGGAATTGGGTATAATTAGCTGAAGATTAGTACAGCTTTTTAAGATGGACTAATCTATCATTCACTATGGTAGACATATCTGCCACATGTACAGTTATCCAGAATGTCATTTCTGGGCAATCCCATGATATATAGACAGTATGGCAACCCAGACTCCGGACCTTCAGAAAATACCTCATATATCCTTTCTTGCCCTAGCCCCATTCTTGGCTATGACCCCAGCCTTACTTCAGGCCTTCTTATTGACACCCCACCCCATCCCAATGTGTTTCTGGCCTATGTCCCCATTTTCGACAATAGTCCTAACTCCAAACTCTCTAACCAGCCCCATTTCTCCCATTTTTCATTAATCCAAGTCCATAATAAATTCTTGGTATATTCCCATTTCCCCCTAGTCAAAAAGGTCCCATGCCATCCCACTTCTTTTTGGATGATTTCAACAAGAATACCAGGCATGTGGTTAACCAGCCTATTCCTTGTGCTCTCATCTCAAGCATGATGAGCAGAAGGCTTGACAAATAGTCACCAAGCCAGCACTCATGATAACCTTGCCAGCTGAGCCAGTTATACTCTAATGTCTCTGACTGGGCATGAAATAGTAAGCCATGTGAAGGAGAGAACCATCTCTGCTTTGCAGGACAAATGTCATTGCTGACTTAGAAAATCAGATCACGGAGCTAACCACAGTGATAGAGCAAATGAGCAGAGATCATCAAAGTACTCAGAAACTGGTGAGTTGCCTTTTCATCTACTTGGTCAGCCTTGTTCAATGAGAACAGCAGGGCCATAGCACAAGTCTACTCCTAGAAGGACATTTTTATCTGTTGGCTATGGATCTGTTCAAGATTCATCCAGTGACTCCTTTTTATGGAAGACCCCTGGATTATGATCTTCATAAGGAGGGCTCTAGCGTCACTCAGTTATTTCGTAGCTTTGCCCCATTTGTGGATGCCTAGGTGTGTAATTAAGGAAGAAAAATGTGGTTCAGATTCGCTTCTACAATAAGACACACTCCTAGAGAGAGAAGTGAAGGTAGCTTTAATTAAGATTATAATACAGGCAGAGAAAAGCTAAATTTACAACAACATACAATTAACAATATAACTATAATCAGACTAATAATACAAAGGATAGCAATAATACAGGAAAACATCACTAGTTCAGGGAAGCACCAATATTTGAAGTCCAAGCTGGGGACTCCCCGGGTACAGCTTTCGGGGTCCCTATTGGGAAAGTCCCAGGCAGAGTGTCTTCTCCATGGGCGAAAATCCAAAGATGGTTTTTCCAAGTAGGATTTAAATAGGGCCTCTAACAAAGATGGCCCTGTGCCAAAGGTGTTCATGATTCAAGCAAATGTTTTTACTCAGTCTGGAAACTGGCCAAGCTCCTGGAATAAGCAACATTTAAAAAATATTAATTTTAATTAATATCAAAATTAAAAATTAAAATTAATTAATATTAATTAGAATACTTTTAATATTAATTAACTTGATATGTTCCGATGAACTGGCCAGCACATCTTTTCCTGAGAACTGGCTAAATTCTCAGGTCAACATAGATAACCACACTCTGGCTTATAGTCCAGTGTTTAGAGTCAATTAGGAGACATGAAAAATCTTTTCTTTTATCAATCACTAGGCCACCAGTGTAAATACTGTAACCACTTTCCCTTCTCCTCTGATCCCCTTACTTAAAATGGGTCAAAGGAGATATGAAATGTATTCTGAGGATTTGGTGATGTCCACTCATGCATAATTGTGTCCAGAATATCAGCATACACTTTTCATCCTAAAACCACTCCCTGGGACCTTTCACCTTGAGTGAAATCGGTAGAGAGGAGGGAGGATCCATTCACTTCTTCCAGAATTCCTATATGACTGAGTTGTCTATTCCGGTCAGATCAACGAATTGTCTGTTAAGTCAATCAAATCAACCAATTAAAGTCTCATTGGGTGTTCTGATGACAAGTCAGCCAGTTTGTTGTATGGATGGAAAGACCCTTCCTTCTATTATCAAAATGGTTTTGTGCCCCATCACTATCGTTTTTAACCTAATATATTTTATCACAACATCTGTGTAAGTTCCAAATTGTCAGAACACTGCCTTCATAATTCAGCATTTCACTTTCTGGTTCTCAGGGACAGGGATACCTGATAAAGCTTGTGTGCTGTAGACAGCAAGTGTGAAGGGGATGTAGAAAGGGGAGTTCCCTGTGGGCTGGAAGCTCCACAGAAGTGATAGAACCTGAGGTGGGCCTTGAAGGAAGGCTGGATGACTGACCACACACTGTTAAAGCCATGCCTGTCTTTCTAGCTTGCAGATGAAATGGAACACCGGTACAACGATCTCCGGAAAGAATTTGAAAATAGCAAGAGGTACAGCTGCTTGAAGGGAGAGGGAAAGGGAAGAGAGGGATGTGTGTGTTTGCCTAAGGAGGACAGGGCAGCCGGTTTTGGAGCTACCCAAGGAGAGCATGCTCATTTGGATGCCAAAAGATTCCTGGCTGCAGTGGAACTTTGTCACCCAACGGGTTCTTTCATTTCCCAGGAATTCCTTCCTTTCTTTTAACATCAGAGTGGCTATTTTGTCCTTTAATAGAAGACCTGTGATACGGCAGGTCTAGTGGATAGAGCTCTAGGCTTGGAATCAGGGATATCTGAATTCAAATCCTGTCTGTAATATACAAACCATTTACCTTCTCAGTGTTCCAAGCAATGGTCACAAGGGTGGGGAACCTATGGCCTTGAGGCCCTCTAGGTCCTTGGGTACGGCCTTTTGACTGAATCCAAGTTTTACAGGACAAATCCTTTTATTAAGGGGATTCATTCTGTGAAGTTTGGATTCAGTCAAAGGGTTGCACTGGAGGGCCACATGTGGCCTCGAGGCCGTAGGTTCCCCAGTGCTGGTCTAAGACCATCACTTAGAGCAAAGTTACTAATTTGTACCTGTGGAGGGAGTCTCCACAAGAGCAGTTCCCAACACCAAATCGGAAGCTGGGACCAAAAATAAAGGGAAAAGAGTTAAAAGGATCAAATGGTGTAGAGGAAAGAGCTGGATCAAGTTCCAGCTCTGATACCTAATTAGCTTGGTGACCATGGGTGGTTTATCTAACCTCGTGGAGCCCGTTTTTTTCTCCTGGAAAGTGGGTATAGGCACTTACTAGCAGTGTGACCCTGAAGTCACTTAACCCTGTTTGCCTCAGTTTCCTCATCTGTAAAATGAACTGGAGAAGGAAATGGCAAACTACTCCAGTATCTTTTCCAAGAAAACCTAAATGGGGTCATTGAAGAGTGAGACACACCTGAGGAATGAATGAACAGCAGCACAAAAGTGGGTATAAAAATACTTTTACTCACTACCTCACAGGGTTTTTGTGACAAACATGTTTGGTAAATCTTTAAAGCACCAAGGAAATAAATTCAATAGATTCCAGTGGCTGCCTGTCACCTCTCGGATCAAACTCCTTTCATTTGGCTCTTCCCAGCCGAGCTCCAATATCCCTTCCCAGGCTTATTATACAAATGGACCTTCTTACCATTCCCCATGAGCGATAGTCCCTATCCTGCCTGCCATGCTGAGGTGTCGTCCTACCTCGCTCTGCCTCTTGGAATCCCTGGCTTCCTTAAAGGCTCAATTCAAGCATTGGCTTCCATGTGAAGGAAGGCCAGCCAGCTACTAGGACCTTCCCCTCTGCCCTGCCCCACCCCACCTCCACCAATTACTTATACAGTATCTATTTTGTATAATTGTATACAATTATAGACGTGCATGTTGACCTTCCCCAATGGAATGTGAGCTCCTTGAGGGCAGGGGCTGTTTCACTTCTGTCTTTGTACCCCTATACTAAGCACCATGCCTGGCAAACAGTAGGCACTTAATAAATGCTTGTTGGTTGATTGGTGTGTGTACCTTGTTAAGATTATTTCTCTAAAATAACTATTAAAATTCTGTGCCCCACACTCAGAAATTTGTCCCTCCCTACTTCCATTGCCCCTTCTCTCCTCTGTAGGAGAGGAAATAATATGAATAGTTGTGCAGGTGGAGAGGCATAGGAGAGAAAGAGGAACAGAAAGACTGAACTGAAAGATCCCTTTCTGAGTCACTGGCTACCCACTGTAGCATTCGCAGTAGTAGCTTCAAGAGAAAGACAATTCTGAACCCATGCTTTTTCCTTTTGGTTTTAGCTGCTGCTCTCTAGAGTAGAGGTCTCCAAAATAGGGTCATAGCATGACCCCAAGGAGTTTAGGATTATCAAACCAGAGGATGGGAAGATGGGTCACATCCCACCTACCCCGGGATCGTCAGTGGAGGCTTGTGTCCCACACAAGCACGTCATCCTTCATACCCACTATTGCCCAACACTGAGTAGCCCTTCCTGTACCTCTTCCCTTTGGTACCAGGCATGGGCCTCTCAGGGCAGTTAGAATCTACCCAGAGCACCAACGCCAGTAGCTGAATAGATGCTTTTGATAAAACTCCTGTCCCCAACATACCCACCTCTTCCCCCTCTTCCTCGTTGTGGATGCACCAATCCCTTCTCAGCTCTCTCTACATTTTAGGTCTGTGGCCAGTCAATGAGAGCCCAGCTTCTCTCCTTTTTTCCATTTTCAGTGAAGAGGGTGAGCAGACATGTATGTTTCTCAATCTCATTTCGCAATCTTTTCCCTCAAACCTACCCTTTTAAAAAATTTTATCTAGTTATTCAATTTGAGATTTTTATGAATACCTTTGAAACATTATCCTAGAGATAAGAGGTAAGAATGATGAACACAGATCTTTCTTTTTTTTTAAATGTTATTTATTTGTTTTTAGTTTTCAACATTCACTTCTTATTTTGAGTTCTAAATTTCTTCCCCCTTCCTCCAATTCCTCCCTCCCCAATACCCTCTACATGTACAATCATATTAAACATATTTCCACATTAGTCATGTTGTAAAAAAAAAAAAATTAGAACCAAAGGGGAAAAACTATGAGAAAGAAGAAACAAACAAAAAAAGAGAAAATAGTACGCTTCGATCTGCCTTCAGACTCTATATTCTTTCTCTGGATATGGATAGCGTTTTCCATCATGAGTCTTTTGGAATTGTCTTAGATTTTTGTATTGCTGAGAAGAGTTAAGTCTTATCAAAGTTAGTCATCACACAATGTTGCTGTTACTGTGTACAATGTTTTCCTGGTTCTGCTACTTCACTCAGCATCAGTTCATATAAGTCTTTCCAGGTTTTTCTGAAGTCCCCCTGTTCATCATTTCTTATGGAACAATAGTATTCCATTTGAACACAAATTTTTCAAAAAACATAAACACAATATAACCTAAAATCATCATAGCTCATACTTATACATTAGGGTTTTAAAGAATAATCATGACTTCAAAAGACTAATAATAATGAAACATACATCTTACCTTTTGGTAGAGAGGTGATGGACTACAGCTACACAATGAAATACACATCCTCAGATATTGCTAACATTGATTCATTACAAGAGAGATCTATGGGCTGAAAGTCATGGTAGGCTAATAGGTAATGAAAGATATATAAAACAGAGCATCAATAAAACATTTTTTTTAGAAAAAAACTTAAAAGAAAACAAATTGCAGTAAGGGAAGCAAACATAGATTAATTGTATTATTACCTAGTGTTTTACATATATATGTATATGTCTTTAAAAAATAAAATATGTGACAGAAATCCACAATTTTTTAATACTGTCCTCTTTCAAGTTATCTGCATATTGAAATATTTGTATTTGATGATTATTTTTAGGTTCAAAATAAAAAAATTTTAAAGAACTTTCACAAACATCTTATTTGATTCTTATGTCATAGTTATGAAGTAGGCAGTTCAAATAATATCATATTCCACTTTATAGATGAGGAAACTGAGTCTCAGAGAAACTGAATGACTTATCCAATGTCCTACAAAGAATAACTGGCAGGGAAGACTTTAATCTAGGTCTTCTGATTGCAAATATGGTATTCTTTCCACTGTAATATGCTCTCTCAAATTTTTGAAAATTGGTTTCCCACAGGAAAGATTTTCTCCTCCATAGGAGAATCTTAGGATCCTATTTAAGATTTCTTTACCTTTGGTGAAATGTGACTAAAGTCAAATCTATCACTTTCCCAGCTTTCATGGTTATACAGTGTATATACCATTAGGGCTTAAGCTACTTCAGTTTTGTGCTTATTGGTCCATTAATATTTAAGCCAAAATGATTAATTTGGGAATAGGAAGGTTAAGACAACTCTAGCTTTGCAAAGATTGCATGATGATAATTGTCTGAGAAGCTCTTCTCAAACAAATTTGATAACTGGCTTGTTGAGAACTATAACTAACTGAAAAGAACAGGAAAAGTGGCACTTTTTTTTACCTATGATAAATCAAGATGAAAATTAACTTAATGAATTATAATTTAATTAATTGATTAATTAATGGATTTAATGTTTGCTCTTTGGTTGTTAATACAAACTGTCATAGAAAATATATTCCTAAATGTTTGAGCCAATTTAATTTTTGTAAGATGACTAATCCCATAACAACCTGTAGGAGTAATTTCAGCCTTTCCTTAGCCCAGTATAATCAGGCAAAAGTTTCATTTTTATGGCAATGCCAGAGGATCCTATTAGCAGTTCCCTTTCTTGACAAATTAGACTTTATCTTGGTCTCTACATCTTTGTCCTCTCATGTTCCAAATACTTGCACCAAAGCAACAGTATTTTTTAAAAACATTCATTTTTTAAGTTCCAAATTCTTTGCCATTCTCCAACTCCCCCCCCACCCATTGAGATGGCAAGCAATATAAAACTCATTGTATATGTGAAGTCATGTAAAAATCTATTTCCATATTTGCCATGTTGTAAAAAAAAACAAAAAAACAAGAAAAATAAACTGAAAAATATATGCTTCAATCTGCACTCAGAGTTCATCAGTTCTCTCTCTGAAGGTAGATGACATTTTTCATTATGAGTCCTTTGGAATTGTCATGGTTGATTTTATTGACCAAATAGACTCATCTTTCACAGTTGATTATCATTATAATGTTGCTATTATTATGTACAACATTCTGCATACTTCACTTAATGTCAGTTCATTTAAGTCTTCCCAGATTTTTGATTTTTTTTGGTTTTTTTTGTTTTTTGTTTTTGTTTTGTTTTGTTTTGTTTTTGCTAGGCAGTGGGGTTAAGTGACTTACCCAGGGTCACACAGCTAGTGAATGTTGTGTGTCTGAGGCCAGTTTTGAACTCAGGTCCTCCTGACTTCAGGGCCAATGCGCTATCCACTGCGCCACCTAGCAGCCCCCCGCCCCCAGATTTTTATAAAGTTATCCTGCTTATCATTTCTAATAGCAGAGTAGTATTTCTTCACAATTGTTGACCACAGTTTGTTCATCTGTGCCCCAATTGATGGGCATCCCCTCAATTTCCAATTCTTTGCCACCACAAAAAAAAAAAACTGCTATAAATATTTTTGTACATGTAGGTCCTCTTCCCTTTTCTTTGATCTCTTTGGGATATCTACTTACTAGCAGTTATTGCTGGGCCAACGGGTAGGCACAATTTTATAACCCTTTAGGCATAGTTCCAAATTGTTTTCCAGAATAGTTGGACCAGTTCACAACTCTACCAAGAGGGCATTAGTATACCTCTTTTCCTATATCCCCTCCAGCATTTGTCTTTTTCCTTTTTTGTTACATTAGCCAATCTGATAGATATAAGGTGGTACCTCACAGTTGTTTTAATTTGCATTTCTCTAATCAATAGTGATTTATAGCATTTTTTTCATGTGACTATAGATAGATTTGATTTCTTCTTCTGAAAAATACCTTCACCCTTTATCATTTGGGGAATAGCTCTTATTTTTATAAATCTGGCTCAGCTCTATATTTGAAAAGTTGGACTTTTATCAGAGAAGCTTTCTATAAACCCCCCCCCCAATTTCCTACTTTCCTTCTAATCTTGGCTGCATTAGTTTCATTTGAGCAAAAGTTTTTTAACTTCATGTAATCGAAATTATCCATTTTACCTCCCATGATCCTCTCTGTCTCTTGTTTGGTCATAAACTCTTCCCTTAGCCATAGATCTGACAGGTTAATTTTTCCGTGCTCCACTAATTTGCTTATTATATCACTTTTTATGTCTAAATTATGAGCCAATTTCGACCTTATGTTAGTATACAATATGAGATACTGCTCTATCTTGTTTATTGCCAGATTACTTTCCAGTTTTCTCAGAATATTTTGTCAAATAGTGAGTTCTTGCTCCCAAAGCTTGGATCTATGGGTTCATCAAAAACTATATTACTATGATCATAGTACTACTGTGTAGTATTCCACTGATCCAACCCTTTCTTAGCCAGTACCAGGCTTTTATGATTACTGCTTTGTAATCTAATTTGAAGTCTAGTACTGCTAGGCTGCCTTCCTTCACTTTTTATTTTCACTTTTGATTTTTGACCTTTTGTTCTTCCAGATAAATTTTGTTAACTTTTTTCTAGTTCCATAAAAATAATTCTTTGGTGCTTAGATTGGCATTGACACTGAATAAGTAAGTTGATTTAAATAGAATTATCATTTTGTTATATTGGCTTGGCCCATCCATACGCAATTAATATTTCTCTAATTGTTTAGATCTATCATGATTTGTGTGAAAAATGTCTTGTAATTGTGTTCATATACTTCTTATGTGTCTTGACAGGCAGACTCTCAAGAATTTTATACACTTTGAAATTACTTTAAATGGAATTTCTCTTCGTATCTCTTCCTGGTAGGTTTTGTTAGAAATACACTGAAATGCTGATGATTTATGTGAGTTTATTTTATAACCAAGCTGTTAATTCTCTTTTCATAATTTTCTTGCATTTCTCTCATTTCTTTTCCCAATTTTTCCTCTATTGCTCTTACTTGATTTTTAAAATCAGTTTTGCTCTTTTTTGATCTCTTTCTTTAGCTCTTCTGAGAATTCTTGTTGGGCTTGTGTCCAATCTTCATCTTTCATTGAGGCTTTGCTTATTTTCACAGTATTGTCTTCTGAGTTTGTGTCTTGAGCTACCCTATTACCATAGAGACTTTTTATGGTCAAGTTCTTTTGTTATCGTTTACTCATTGTTTCCAGCTTACTTCTTTGAGGAACTTTGTGTTAGAGTTAGGCTCTGCTCATCTCTGTGTGGAGGTGGAGGTGGGGGGAGAGGTCACCTTCCCAAGCTTCAGGTTTTTTCACCTTACTCTTTTCACGGCTAGTTCTGGCAGTCTATAAATTTTCAGTGCTTCAAAGGTGGTGTTATCTGGGGAGAAGTGTGGCCCAGGAATGACCCTTGTTCCCTGGTGACCACAAGTGCCAACACTCTTCTCTGCTCTGGAGCTACAACTCAGAACTTACTGATGGGCAATGAAGTTACCAAATGGCATCCATCTCTGGATGGTAGAAATTCCTGGTACTATCTCTGCTGCTGCTGTTGCTGCTGCCGTTACCACTGCCTCCAAGACCCATAGCTGGTACAGAGTCCTTCCTCCAGGTTAGCCTCCACTCATAGACCTCTCTTTCTAACCTCCTAAATTGTCCTGGGCTAGAAAAAAATGTCTCATGCCAACATTTTTTTGGTTATGCCACTCATGGATTTGATTTGACACATTATTTTAAAGTTGTTTGGAGGGCAATGTTAAGAAAGTTCAGCTAGAATGCTTCCTCTACTTCATCTTGGTTCCACCTCCCCACCCTTTTTTTGAACTCTATTATGGTTGAGGGCATTGCCATCCTTCTGGTCACCCAGGTTTCCAACCTCCGGGTCATTCTCTATTCCTTATTCACCCTACACATCCAATCAGTTGTCAAATCTTACTGTTTCTACTTCCACGATCCCTCTTCCATACTCTGCCTTCTGTCTGTACACACAGCTACCACCCTAGTTCAATCCCTTATCATCTCTCCCCTGGATTATTGTACTAGCCTCCTAACCATTCTGCCTCCCTTCAGCTTCTCTCTTCCCTAGTCCTCCCCAAAGCTGTCAAAGTGATCTCCTAAAAATGCAGGTCTGACCATGTCACTCTTCTACCTAGCAAGCTCCAGGGGCTTCCTATTGACACTAGAATCAGCATGATTTCATTTTTATATCAACATTTCATAAATTCTATTCATGTGTTAGTTTTATAATGTAAATAACTACTACCACTACAATCATTGTTCTTATTGTTGTTCAGTCATTTTCAATTGTACCTGACTCTGTGTCTCCTTTTTGGGGTTTTCTTGGCAAAGATACTGGAGTGGTTTGCCATTTCCTTCTCCAGTTCATTTTACAGATGAGGAAACTGAGGAAATAGGGTTAAGTGATTTGCCCAGGATCACAGAGCTGGTAAGAGTCTGAGGCCAGATTTGAATTGAGGTCTTTCTGACTCCCAGGCCTGGGTGCTCTGTCTACTGTGCCACCTATATAAATTATAAATAGATAAATATGCAAAATGTATTGGAGATACGGGCTCAGAAATGTTTACTGATAGGGTATATACAGTCAAAAAAGTTTTGAGACCCCTTATCTAGAAAACTGCCAGCATTATGGGTGGCAAAGAAGGGAACTCTCAACACGCTGGGGGAAACCACAGAATCTGAGGCTGGCCAAGCAAAAGATTTTTAAGCAACTGGCCCACTAGATGTATTTAACATAGCCATCCTTCCAAAGTGTCAGATCCTCTCAATGTCAGAGTATGGATATGCTGAAAAGGCCCTTGGAGGACATTTTGAGATTCTGAGATATCTACCCCTCCAACCCTCTGTTAGGGTTAGGGTTGATAGTCAAGGTATGGCCTTAGCAGAGTAACCATGGCTTCCTGTGGCTGCCATATCTTTCTAGCACTGGTGAGTGATTTAAAATAAAAAAAAAAAAACAGCTATATTCAGACATCCTTTTGTTGATGAATTTTTCTCCTGTGGTGACTACACAGAGAACTCAGAGAGGCTCATGATGAAGAAATAGCTGCTTTGGAAGAAAAGTACAAATCATCCCTGAAAGTGGAGAAGAATGTCGCCCAAGGAAAACTTGGTATGGCCACAGTCTGGGCACAGTGCTTCTTCTGTAATGTGAGAAAGCCCTGTGAGTATGGCAGGGAGCAGAGGTTAATTGGAAAGGATATGCCAGGTTTCTCTTGGGATTCTTCCTAAAGCCCAGAAAAGGAAACATCCTGTAGAGGGAAAGACCAAAGGGAAGGAAATCCATTCATCAGCATTTCTAACAAGACAGGGAATCAAAGAGGCCTAATTCAAATCCCAGCTCCTCCGCTCCATAGCCAGGTGACTTTGGGCACAAGAATCTCTTCCCTATCTACTCCTCAGGGCTATGGTGAGGAGCAAAAATAAATGTGTGTGAAAGTACTTTGGAGAACGTCAAAGCCCTATACCTCTTTGAGGTAGTAATTCTTATTATTCACCATGGGATGGAGCCCATCAGCCAGTCAACAAGCATTTATTAAGCACCTAGTATGTTCTAAGCACTCTGTTAAATGCTGGGGATACAAAGAAAGCCCCCTGCCCCCCAAAAAAGCCCACCATCATTTTAGGTCTTTGATGGAGAAAGGATATTTAGGGTTCGCTAACCTGGCATTTAGGGTTAACCTTAACCCTGACAAGTTCTGAGAACCCAAACCAGTGTCCTACAGGGAGTGGCGTGAGGTCCCTGTTTCCCATATTATCTTGGTTCATGACAAGGATTGATCACCAGGGATCTGGGTGAAGTTTGATCAGATGTAACAGAGGACGTCACAAAAGTCTTAGTAAAGCTTTCAGCTGTTTAAACTCGATGTTGGTGTGGCCTGTGGTTTTTAAATGGAGTAGTGATGACTGTTTTCTCTTGTCTAGAGAGTATGGTGAAAGAGTATAAGTATTTGAAGAATATGTTCCGAATGTACCAGGTGAGATCTAGCTACTTTGAACCATTTTCAAGCATAAGGGAAGCTGGGCCACTAATTCCAGACTTCATTTCCTGGCAGATAATCTGTGGTGAAACAATCTAAATGGAGTGTGGTATAGAAAGTAACTCCTGGGGAGAAAGGGCAGCAAGCAGCTGGGGTGGGGGTGTCTACTCCAGTAAAGAGGGACTGGTACAGAGCTTTGAGTTACATTGAGTTGACCTGTTCAGCACTGGCTGCTCACTACAGCGTTAATAGATTGGTGGGGCTGCTTGTGCATACAGTGATTCTCCCAGGCTTATTCTTTATTCTCAGTTTTTTTGGATGAATGCCTATGGAAACAGGGAAGTATATGTTTCCTCAGGCAGATAAAGCAAGTTGAGCAGGTTGAAGTGTCAGTGTTCCAGTGTTCATTCTTAAAAAAAATAATAATAATTATGTATTTGTGTTTATTCACTCATTGATTTGTTCATTCATTAATTCAATGCCTATAAGCCCCTGCCAACCAGAGGGAAAGAGATTGAGTTAATGTATTTTTACCACTTTTAAATCCTATTTTTGGAAACACTGCCATGTGTGTGTGTGTGTGTGTGTGTGTGTGTGTGTGTGTGTGTGTGTATGAGGGAGAGAAAGGGGGAGAGAGAGAGAGAGAGAGAGAGAGAGAGAGTGAGTCCAGATGTGTTTTTAGCTCTGCATTTGTGTGTGAAGCAAATTCTTTCTGACAGGTGCTAAAAGTCAATAAGAGGACTTTTGAGGGTTCCTCCAGGAGGTTTCCCCAGTAGAAGAGTCATCAGAATGCCCAAGAGACAAAGAAAGAAAAGTGCTGAAATTCCCAATAGGCACCAGGGAGCATTTCTAGGGCAGCGGCTGCCTCGTCCACGAGAATTCATGGCCTTGGTAGGGCTCAGAGGGTCCGTTCTCCATGACTCCAAATAGCTGTCGTTTCTGTCCTTACATGGCTAGCTCAGGAGCAGAATGGCTGCTGCTCCTGAGAGCTGAGCTCCTGCCAAGGGCACCAAAGGACTTGGAGCACAGCTGGCCAGCATCATGTCTAAAGTCTCCTTGGGTCCTCATGAAGTAGTCATGAAGAACTGACATTTCCATGGGGCTTTGTTGTTTTCATAGCACCTTCCTCATACCCACGTTGAAGGAGGAAGTACATATGCTACTGTTCTCATTTTACAGATAAGGAAACTGAGGTTCACTAAGGTGAAGTGATTTGGTCCAGCTCACATAGCTAGTAAGTGTCAGGGCAAGGATTTGAACCTGGGTCTTCTGACACCAAGCCCTGCAGCACTCTTTCCACAATACTCTACTACCTCTATTTCAGGGGTTCTTAACTTCTTTTGTATGATGGACCCAATGGTGTGCTGGTCAATGGAGGTGGGAGAGGGGACATGTATGTATAGCACACTTATAAGTTTAATCTACGTTATTAACATTATCTCCATCTACGTTATTAACATTATCTCCATCACTTTCTTAAGTATAGACAATCTACAAAACAAATCAAGCCCTGGTTGGTGTGTAGGGTTTCCTAATTTCTGATGTGTAAATGCTAACACTGAAAATTAACAATCAGCTCATAGGCTGGTTTGAGCTGGCTCCAGCACATCCCTACCTGGATCCTTTTGGCAGTCTGGTGAAGTCCATGGACCCCTTTTTCAGAATACTGTTTTTAAGTCCATAAAATAAAATACACAGGACTATGAAGAAAATTAATTATATTGAAACACAGTTATGAAAAAAATTGTAATTTACAGACCCCAGGTTAAGATCTGCTCGATTTGATTTTTCTTCCTTTGAAGAACATACCATTATTTCCTAAAAAATTAACAAACAAACAAAAAACCTGACTCATGGGCCTTTTTACTCATTTCTTAGATGGTCCGATGGGATTTTCACCTGATTTACAATTCCAAGCAGAACCTTTAAGCATGGGGTAAAAAAAAAAAATCTTTCTCTTCCTTTGCTCTCACAATAGCATGAACACTTCTTTTTTTTTTTTTAATGAATTCTTTAAATATTCCAAAGACCAAAGCTGGAAAAATATTGAACTTTATTCCCTGTCATTTTCTTTTTCCTATACATTACTGTCTTTCTCCAGACAACTTATGAGTGATAGTGGCGTGGAGCTTTGCAATAGAGAACACTACTTGGACAGGCACCATCAATTCTCTACATCTCACTCTTCCATTTCAACTCCACCATGTGATTTCTAGAAAATATTTTTAAAAGTCTCTCCCTTCCCTTCCCTTGGGCATTCTTGATTTGTAAGACCATGATGTCCATAGATACTATGTCACCCTAGGACAGTATTGCAGATGAAATGGAGGAGAAGTGGACAAGGCGGAAGGTTGAATGGGAGAAGAGTGAGAAAATGGAACGAGAAAAAATCCTATTGCAGCAAAGTAAGTAGGAAATCCTGAAGTGTTTTAGGCATATGGATGACCTAAGTTTATTGAAAGAAAACACAATCAATTGGAATGGAAAGATTGTGGACTACCTCTAAGCCAGTTCCGTATGCATTCATTTGTTATTGTTATCATTTGTCCTTCATTCCCTGAGAGGACCATCTCTAAGAGGATGCCATGACATGCAAGTGAATTGGCTTTAAGTGAGGGAGGGCTGTGCAAAATCACCAGCCTCACTTTCTCCTAATGAATTTGTCAGTGTCACAGCATGCCCCATTGGTTTCCATTTTTATTTTTTAGAACAATAATGTAATCCAGTAGTTTGCAACTTTTTTATTTTTTACTATAAGGATCTCTTTTGAACATAGAAAATATTTGTGGATCCCCACATCATAGTAACTGTACTATTAGAACATTAATTGTGAGAATGCATGGGTGAACCACTCATTTTCCTCAGGCAACCATTTCTTATGTTATTGAATATTTTGTGTTTTCCTTCTTGTATCTTTCTTTCAATCACAAATATACTTACGAGAGTATACATATATATACATGTATTTTATTTTCTGATTCTCCACAGAATTCAGACTAACAAGGAAGTTTGAGGTGGATATAGAAGAAGAAAAAAGAAAAATAGAGGAACTCCACATCCAAACCTGTGAAAATTTCAATAAGGAGAGAGCGGTAATTCACCCAGAGGAATGAGTAATATTAGTAAGCTTTTAAAGGCAAGATAACATTGTGTGCCTTGAAATAACTCATAGACGTTATATTTAATAACTAGTGGCTTTTTGGAAGCAACTCAAACTTAATTTGAATTATTTAGATGAATCCAGGGGGCCAAGGTACCTGGTTCACAATATTGCAATAATAATAATAGCTAGCATTTATATAGCTTTATGGTTTGCAAAGCACTTTACAAACAGTATCTCATATCATACTTGGGCATTGCATTGATTAGAGTCCTATAACAACTATTCTACTGAGTGTGCCAAGTTGAACAAATACCTCTATTCACCAAAGGGCTCAAAATCCTCTTTCCAAAGACAGCGTGTGATACCTTAAATAAAAAGTCCATACATTATATAAAACAAAGGGCTTTGTAACAATCACTGACTTGGAGAGTTCTTACCATTTCTATGATTTTTGACTTACTACTTAGATGCTAATTCTATTCTGTCTCTTTGCTCCTTCCCTCCCTTCCTCCCTTCTTCCCTCCCTCCCTCCCTTCCTTCCTTCCTTCCATCCTTCTTTCCTTCCTTCCATCCTTCCTTCCTTCTTTCCTTCCTTCCTTTCTCTCTGTCCTTTTTGTTCTCTCTTCTCTTAACTCTGTCTCCTATGCTAGGTTGGGGAGGGGGATGGGTTGGAGGTCGCTCTCTTGTTTTTGTTTTATCTTTGTGAATGGGACATACTTTCCTCTGTGTTTCCTGTGTTTGATTTAGTCTTGGAGGAGCATAGGATCACAGAATTGAATGGGACCTTAGAAAACCTCCCTCCCATCTTACAGATGAGAAAACTGAGGTCCATGGAGCTTAAGTGACTTGAGTGAGGTCACAGAGCTGGAATTTGAATCCAGGTCCTTTGACATCAAAATACAATGCTCCTTTCACTGCACTATGGTGCTAGATATGAAACAGAAATTACATAAGATTCATCTTCAACATATTGCTTTCAGGCATTCCTAAAACAACATGAAATTGATATGCTGAAATTAGACGAGCTACAGAAGGCCAAGGAGGTGAGATTTTTTTTTCTTTGGTATTTCTGGTACACAAGTAAGCAAAATGAAAAAATGAACCAAAGGAGAGTGACTCAATAACACCGTTCCTCAAAGAATTGAAATCAATGGACCACGGCTGGGCTTTCTGGGGATTTTGGAATTTGTTACCCAGCAAAGCCTTGAGTGTCCTTTTAGACCTAGGACTGTTCTTACGTACATTAGTTATAAGCCAGCTGAATGTATGACTTTGTACACCAGTTTGAACTAGAGTTTGTTCTCCAGCTCCACTAAGGTTCAAACAAGGACGTGTACTTTAACCATCACTACACTACCCAGTTCTACCTTTGAGCTCCATGTGCTGCAATAATATATCCTGTGGAGGCCTCCTTGGGGGAAAAACCCTCCCATTGCCATTGCCAGATCTCTGCTCAAGCTCAGTTTACACTTCATGGGAGCTGGAAGGGACCTCAGACATGTTTGGTCCAAACCCCTCATCTTACAGATGGTGAAACTGATACCAGAGAGATTAAGCAATTTGCCCACAGTCCTAACACAGACATTAGTAGCAGAGCCAGGATTTGAATCCAGGGAAACTGATTCCAAATCCAGCATTCTTTCTGCTGCACCAGCACTCCTTCAACTTTTAACTTGCACGGCAGGGTATGGCTAAGGCATCAGTTTCTCAAGGGGTTCTGAAGTTTCTTAGCTGATTGTGTGATTTCAAGGTCTGTCACCAAAAGTTGAAAGTCAAGTGATAATTTTTTTTTTGCCAATGTAATTCACCAAGACCATCTGTTCATTCAGGGAGAGGAGGGGGGCACTGAGCTCTGTCTATGGAGAGAGTAACCATACTGATAAAATTACAACTCCTAGAAGTGTTGAAGAATTGTTCATGATGGCCAAGTGCATGAGCTGATTTGTACTGCTCCTTCTATTGAAAATGCATTTTGAACATAAGCTAGTCCCTGAAAACTGACCATGAGTCTTTGATTGTAGGGCGTTTGGACACCTTGCTGAGGTATAAACTAATGGGAATATACAGCTCACTTAGAGACCTCAGGAAAACAAGGAGAACAAGGCAGTGTGAGGGTTAAGTGTAGCACATGAAATCACAATATATTTCATCTATTACTAGACTGAAAGTTTGTCCATGAGGTCAAGAAATATCTTCTATATATTTTGCATTTTCCCCAGCCCCCAGCACAGTGCTTTGTAAACAGTAGGTGCTCCATAAGTGCACGTGGAAGTGAATTGAGTCATTTTCTCCTAATAAAGGTTGTGGAGGAAGAATTGCAGGCACAGTCTCTTGCTTTAGAATCGCTGAACACAGCATTGTACCAAAGTCAAACGGACCTCCAGAAAGAGGTGAGTTCCAGTGGAGGAGAGGGGATAGCAGGTGAATAAAGCATGAAAGATTGACATCTGGAAAGAACTTTAGGTCATCTAGTCCAACCCATTTGTAGCACAGTAGGCTGTCTCCATTAAGGTACTATGATTGTCTGATTCAGCTGCTTGCCTAGGGAGGAGGAGGTATAGTCAGTTTTTGAAATACCTTTCAGAAAAACCATGCAATCAACATGGAGCAGCAACTTCAACAGAAGCTTATTGAAGTTGAGGAAAAGTACAAACATACGATACAGAACATGACAAATGAAAATCTAGACCTGAAGTATGTACCCATAGGGATAAGAATGAGAACACTGGGGTTGGGGGTGGGGTAGGGAGGGTTTTGGTGACGGGGAGTTGGGGGGGGGCCTTATCTGTAATTATTCTAGAAAGCATCTTCGCCATTGGAAAAGAGAGAAAAGTATTTAACCTCCCTAACACTAGTTTGTAGAACTGATTTGGAGATCAAATTTCAAAGAAATTTGCTAGTCTAAACGATGCATTTTCCTGGTTCTCATTAAATTATGTTATTACTATTATCTCTTTTTAAAAGTTAATTTATTCTTCATTTTGCATTTGATTTTTTTTAAATGAGCATTTCCATATAGAGAACAGAACAAGAAAAGAGGATTATTTATAAAATACTCCATCCCCCAACTTGGGGCATTTTTACTGGCTGTACCCCATGTTTAGAATGCTGTCCTTCTTTGTCTCCACCTCTTGGCTTCTCTAGCTTCCTTTAAATCCTAGCTAAAATCCCACTTTCTCCAGGAAGCCTCTCTGATCCTCTCTAATTCTAGTGCTTTCTCTCTTATTGATCATCCCAACTCCCATTTATCCTATGTATTAACAGCTTTCTTGTAAAGAGTTTTTTCCATGATATCTCCCCCACTGACTGTTAGCTCCTTGAGAACAGGGACTGTCTTTTACCTTTCTTTGTTTACCCAGCTCTTAACACATTGCCTAGCACATAGTAATCAATCAATTAACAAATCAGACTTTATATGACTGACATAAATCTTTATTTCATAATTCTTCCTTTATTTAAAAAAGAAAAGGCATAAAATCTCACACGTTACTTTCAAAGCCATCCTGCTTGTCTGTGCTTTCTTTTATTATTTTCTGTGAATTAAATTTTTTTTCTCTGTGGCTTTATTTTTTTTAACATCACTATTGCTCACCTCTGTTCTCCCCCTAGCCCTTTCCCCCAATTAAAAACTCAGAGAAAGAAAAAAGAAACCCTTGTAATAAATAAGGATCATTGAGTGACATAAATTTATACAGCGAACATGTCCAAAAAATGTGTCTCTTTTTCTGCACCTTTAGTCTCATCACCTCTGTCTCAGATGGTATGTGACATGCTTCATCATAAGTCCTCCAGTGACATGACTTATCATCTCATTGATGGGTTCTTAAATCTTTCAAAGTTGCTTCTCTCTACGGTGGTATTGTCCGTGTATAAGGTGTTCCCTGGCTCTGCTGGCTTCATTCTGCACCTGCTACCCAACATGCTCTGAAATGGTCTCTTTCACCGTTTCTTATAGATAAATACTATTCCATGACATTCAGATATCATAGTTTGTTCATCCTTCAGTTAATGGAGACTCCTAACCCTAGATGACAGTTATTTTCTCCTCTCCTTCAGAATCAGGAAGTTATGTTTTGTGTGTGATCATTCCCTTTCTTGTATCATACTCCTCTTAACCCCTCCTCCATTTTCCTTTTTTTTCCTAGTTAATTTATAACCAGTATCTTTTTTTATTATTATTTTCAATGATCAATCATTCTTTTTTCCCTCTTGTCTCCCCCCACCCACCTATTCTCTGAAAAGAAAAAAAAAACAAACTACAGAATTCCTGAATTACATAAGCACAGTCAAGCAAAACAGTTTTATTTTGGTCACTTCCAAAATGAATTTCTTATTTTGCCCATTAGTCCATCCCTCTGTCATAAGGATAAGGTGGGCAGGGTTCTTCTTTATCTGTCCTCTCTCTGGAATTATGGCAGAATTATTATATCAGAGTTCTTAAGTCTCTCAAAATTGTTGTTGTTGTTGTTTTTACAATATTTGGGTTACATTGTAAATTATTCTTGTTCTGTTTACTTTACTCTGCATCAGTTCATACAAATCTCCCAGGTTTCTTTGAGATTGTCTTTTCTCTCATTTCTTATAGTACAATAGTATTTCAGTACATTCGTATGCCACAGTTTGTTCAACCAGTCTCCAATGATGGCTATCCCCTTAGTTTCCAATTTTTCCTACCATTCAAAAGGAGCTGTTATAAATATTTTTGTATATATAGGACCTTTTTCTCTTTATTTGATCTCTTTGGGGTATAATAGGCCTAGTTGTGGTATTGCTGTGTCAAAGGGCATACAAGTAACTTTTGTGCTATCATTTCTGTGACTTATCTCTTGCTGGCATTAATTCAGATTTTATTCTTCTACTTCTACTCTTCTTCTACTTCTTTTCAGGCCAGCATTCGTACTTCAAGTAAGGCTAAATTCCAGTGATGTAAATGAAAACATTAAAACCATGAATAATTGTTTAAAAAAAAAACCCAAACAATATTAGTCCCATAGTTTCCTCACAAATAAGGCAGAATGTTGTATACATTGTCAGATGTGAACATCAATAAAACTTTTTTTTTAAAGTTCCTAACTCACCATAGTCACTTAAGAATGTATTACCTGTTCTTGAAATTCAATCAAAAATAATATTCCTTTTTAAATCTGGGGGCATTACCAGTTATAATTAAGATCCCACCTGGTCAAAAAGATGGGGCCATGTTCTCTTACGCATGAGAATGCTACACATTCTCTATGTTTCCTTTCTAAGGTAATGTCTTTTCCTTCATCCAACAGGAATATGCTCATCTTAAAAAATGAAGAGCTTTTCGCATTAAGAAGCAAGAAAAATACCAGGGCAGAATCTTTTATCTATCATGACATAACTTATTGACCATGAAGATCTGGACCCAGAACAGAAGAGCTGACTGTCTCCCAGGGCCTGGAGAATTCACGTGAAGAACTTCTCTCAGGATTGCCTTAGACTTGTTCAGTTCTTGGGGTACCATATTTTTGGGTTTTTTTTGTTTTGTTTTCACAACTTAACTTTATTCAGAGTTGTTGGAAACATAAATGTCATTGAACTAAGATTTTCTTTCCCCATCTACCCCCATTTTGAGGTAATCTATGAACCTTACTGTTCATTTGATTTTCTACCTGAGTATGGCTGAATATTTTGATGATGATAACACAAGGAATGTTTCCCCTTAGCCAACATTTACATGCCATTAAATTAATTTTTCATTCTCCCCTTCCTTATCATCAGAAGAAGGGCTCTCCTTAAGTCCATTCTCTTGCTGAAAAAGATAAATGTGTGGTTGATTATATCTTCCAAAATCATAAGATGTTAGAGTTGGAAAAGGTCTTGGCAATCTTCTAATCCAGGGGTAGGGAACCTGTGACCTTAAGGCCACGTGTGGCCCTCTAGGTCCTCAAGTGTGGCCCTTTGACTGAATCCAAACTTCACAGAACAAATCTCCTTAATAAAAGGATTTGTTCTGTAAAATTTAGACTCAGTCAAAAGGCCGCACCCAAGGACCTAGAAGACCACATGTAGCCTCGAGGCTGCAGGTTCCCCACCCCTGTTCTAGTCTATGCTTTTCATTTTCCAGATGAGGAGAATGAGGCCCAAAGAGACTTGTCCAAAGTAACACAACCATCTAATGGTAAAGCCAAAATTAGGCCTTAGAACTCCCACTCCCAAGTCCAGTGTTCTTAAGACAATGCCACACTTTCACACCACCCTACCCTTCCAGAATCAATATGTTGGAAAATAATCTAATTTATAACTTTTATATAAAAAATGGATCCCTCTACCTAGAGTGGCATGGTATAGTAAGAGTAGGTACTAAACCAGGGGCCAGATAACCTGAGTTTGAAATTCTGGTGCTGCTACTAACTTACCGGATCACTTTGGGGAAGTCACTTGACCTTCTCTGGGTCCTAGGTTATCTATGGAATGTAGGTCTTGGACAAGATTAACTGCAAGGTCCCTTTCAGTTCTGATGTTTTCTTGATTGACCCCAATGTTCTATAAACTATGGCTTGGCAAGAAGTTTTTGTGATTTCTGTCATCCTCTATTATCCAGAAATTTATGACTTTGGGAAAACAATCATTAGCAAGGGCCAAAGCCATGATGATTGACTCAGGAAATTTTGATGATAGGAGTAGGCTGTTGAATTGAAGACATCTCCCAGTGGATTAGGTGCTTATGGTGCTACTCACTTGCAAGGCCCTGATTATAACTTCATACACTTGAATTTTAGGTTGGAAAAAAAAAAAAGAAACCTTGACCTAAGGCAATACTGTGTTATTCCAATGTTGATGAAGAAGATATGATGAATTCTTCAGACAAAGTTAATTCAACCCAATTCAATTCAGTTAATCACCTGCCATATTCCCAAGCAACTGTGCTAAGTACTAAGAATACAAAGACAAAAAAGAAAATAGCCCCTGCCCTCCAGGAGCTTGTATTCTTCTGCAGATAGAACAGTATTTGGGGGGTGGGGGGTAGGATCAGGAAAAGCTTCGTGTAGAGGATCCTGGTTCTTGTGAAGCAATGTGAGCAGAATGTGATACTGCTTCTTCATTAGCTAGGGCTCATCAGCTTTGCTGTCAGTCAAAAAGCATTTATTACTCATCTTCAACATACCCGGCACTGTGCTAAGAGGTGCAGATACAAAGAAAAGCAAAAGACAGACTCTGCCTTCAAGAAGCTCACAATCTGATGGGGAGACAACATGCAAACACCTATATGCAGACAGGCTACATATGGAATGAATAGGAGATAATCAGTAGGGGGATGGCATTAGCATTGAGAGGGTTTGACAAAGGCTTCCTGGAGAATGTGGGTTATTTTTTGTCCTGTTACCTTCTAAATGAAGGTAAACTGAGGCACAAAGTTCTGAGCATGTTCAATTTTTGGCAAGGTTGGCAGTTTCTACAGACAAAAGGAAAAACATCCAAAAGCAAGAAGGCAGCATCATGGATGGGGGAAACAACACAATTGGCTAGAAATTTGGAGTGCAACTCCTCCTGCCATCTTGCAACTATGGGAAACTCATTGGCAGTGTCCACCTGCAGGGCTAGTTAGTTTCACAGCAATAACAGACGAGACTTTCTTGAAGGACAGTGTCAATCTTCAGAGTTTGGTCTAAAAGGAGACAAATAAATTAGGTTGTATATGTGCTGTTTATTCTGTGTAAGCTAGCAAAATCATACATGTATGGGAGCACGGTAAACTGAGCTCACTTTGGGGTTAGGCTGCACAAATTACATACCTATAAAGTAAGGAAGTATTACCTCCTCCTTTTTCCCTGACTCAGAATGCCTGTGTCTTTTGTCAGCCAAAATCATAGTTTCCATAAGGCAAGAAGTACCCCTGACCTCAGGGTGTCTGTCCTTTTGCTAGTTGAAATTACAATTCCCATAGAACAAGAGAGTGCCCCCTAGGATGTCTGGTTTCCATCAGCCATAAGCAAGGGAATGTCATAACTAGAAGAGAGTGTCCTAACAGGATATGTCCATAAAACGACAAGATAACAAGATAACAAGAGAAATGCCATTAATCAAGATAATGTCTGGTTCAAGTCACCTGGTCTTTATCAGTCATAAACAGGAGAATGCTCCAGGTCAACTTAATCCAGCAGGAGAATTTTAGTATCTCAAATGATTATGGTATGTTAACTCAGAGTGGGTTAAAATGTCTTTTACTGATTGGCCAGTTCAGGTTTTCGGCCTCCTTTGTGTAGTAAAGGGCTAAAACGAATCTCACAACAGTCAGTGTGGCAGAGATAACAAATCAGACTTCCTGACATCTACCCGCATCTTTCAAGGATAACAGATTTCCTTAACACAACAATAAACAGACTTAACCAACTTAGAGAGGAAAGCTGAACTTAAACATTTCTGAACTTAACTCAGAAACAAATGTGACTTAGGCAGTATACAAAATGACGGTGATACAGAATAGAGTCAGTTACAAAAATGGAAACAATATCAATTTGATTTTCTCAGTCCCAATGAGCAACCTGTGTGTTTCCTAAGATGCTCTTTCAGGTTTAGTAATTTGGGTTTCACCAGACCAATGCTTTAATGACTTATTCTGAAATGCTCTTTTAATTGTGCACATCTCCCACAAATCCCTCAAACAGATAATTATACCTGACTTCTGCTGTCACTGCAGTATCTTGGGTGAAATTGTTACCACAGCCAGATTTCATTGGAAGCTTCAAGAAACAAGGTCTACTGGTGATGCCTGGTACATTTATGAGATATACTAAATGAATAAATGCTGAGGATTTGCTTTTGTGCCCTGTATTTTTCTCATATGAGCCAGAAATGCATGGTCACCACATTCCAGGACCTTATGACTGACCATTCGTCTACTGAACAAGCATTTATTAAGTGCCTACTATGTGCACCATGCACATTCTATTGAGAAAAAAAAACAAACATGACTCTACATAGAAAATTGAATATAAAAAGTAATCCAAGAGATTTACAAAAGGAGGACACTAGCAACTGCAAGTAGTCAGTCAACAAATATTTATTAAGTGCCTACTATGTACCAGGCCCCACTAATCACTTGAAATGCAAAGAAAATCAAGGAAATCCCTGCCCTCCAGGAACTCATAATCTAATGGGGGAATTCTGAGGATGTTACTCATCAGGAGAGTACTAGGATACCTTGTTTGTTGTTCTGTCTTTTTTTTAAAAGAGAGAAATAGATGAGTTCTTTGTTAAGAGCTTTGTATTCTCTGATGAGGTAGAAAAGAGTGCTTGAGGCAGATGGAGATAAGAGATAAGATGGGACCAGCCAAAAAAGAAGACTATGCATTGAAGCCCCCTTCAAGAACAACTCTTCCCCTCCCCTTTCTTTTTCTCTTTGCATATCTCCTTCAGACTACTTGATATCCCAGGCATTTTGTTGGGGTTTTTTTTTTTTTTTAGTTTTTTTTTTTTAGGCAATTGGGGTTAAGTGACTTGCCTAGGGTCACACAGCTAGTGAGTGTCATGGGTTTGGTCTGAGGCCAGATTTGAACTCAGGTCCTCCTGACTTCAGGGCTGGTGCTCTATCCACTGCGCCACCTCGCTGCCCCTATCCCAGGCATTTTGGAACCATGCTTGCTCCTCCCATTCTCTTGTCCCCTTCCCCCTATTCCATAAAATTGTATTTAAACCATACCTTTGACCTGGTTAACCACCTTTGCCTGCTACGGGAAGCAGGGGCCACTTTGTTACCTTAGAGGAGCAGGGCCAGCTGCCTGTGCTCTGCCTCGCATGTGAAGTAGAGCCCATGAGGTCTCTGCCTCACTCCCGGGGAGCAGACCTGCTTGGGTATATCACCCCAATAAATGCCTTTCTTTAACTTGGAGACTGTCTGAGTGAATTCTTTCAAGATACTAGGACCCACATGTCTATTCCTCATCATTTCAGGCAGCACCCTAACATTCTTGGGGTCCACCCTGAACTCATCACCAATGGCTACAGAGAAGGTCTAATTGAATTCTTTCCTACCTGAACCGGTCTCTGACTCTGACCTCAACAGTATAGTTTAAATACACTTAAATACACTGGAGGTGATAAACTAAGGGAACAGCAAAGAGGAAGGGAAGAGTTGTTCTAGAATTGAGAGTGTTTTGTGAAAGTACACAGATAAGTCCAGGGTGGGGGCGTCAAAGCATAGTCTTCTTTGATCACTTTTCTGGCTGGTCACATCCTGCATCTTATCTCCTTCTTCATGTCCTCCTTGCTCCATCTGCCTCAAGCACTCTTTTCCACCTCATCATTCTTCCCTCTTTGCATGTGTGTGTGTTTAAGCAGATACTTTATGGATATCCACGTAAATCCTCCTCTCACCTCCCCATGGCATAGAGGTAATGTGGATTTTCTGATTCTGTACTATCAAGCTCTGGTAGGCTGATGGGGTGCTTGGGTGCTTGTACTGGAACCCCAGTTCCATGACCATGTTTCTCCTTAGCCTCAGATACACTATCCCTGGCAGTTTCTCCCCAGCCCAAGGACACTGTGCCTAGCAATTACTCATGAGTGGGCCCCAGCAAGACCCTTATCTCTCTCCCTGGTGCAGCTACAATCAGCACCTGAGGGAATTATTAGTTTGAACTGGCTTTGCACTGGGTCATAAAGATATTCTTACCCACTGGACTATCTATACTACCACCCTACCTCATTATCTACATCCTGGACTCCTCATTATCTATATTCTAGACCTAAGACATATGGATACTCCCTACATCTATCTTGTCAAACAAGACATTGACTGGTGGCAGACTGGACAACTCTCGGTTATCCCTGAACTCTAGTTAACTTAGTGACGTAGCAGGCCTAAAACCACATTTCCAAGTGGCCCCCCTTGGGGGCTTTTCCTAGTGAACTCTGGGTAAAATGCCTGTTCAGTAGATATAAGAAGTGCATGTTCCTTTAAGAACTGACCACTCCTTAAACCACTCCCTAAACCCATGCTGAATCACCTAGTTAGCATATTTGGCACATGTTTTATTGTATTTTATCCTATATAAAAACTTTCACTGTACCCCTCTAAGGTCGAAGACTCCTTAAGAATCCTTGCCCACTGAAAAGCGTAACAATAAACTTTTTGACTTAAAGAATGCTTGAGTCTGTGAATTCATTCCAGACAATACAGTCCTGTACTCCAGTCTTTGAAGGGTCTCAACCTCTCAGACCGCAACAGGGTCTACCCAACTTGCAAGGGCTTTGAGTACCGAGCCTCTAGTTTATCTCAACTCAGATTTATTACCAGTAGAATGGTCTCCAGTTGATAATTGGGGTAAGGGGAGAGGTAGAATCACAGAAACTCCAGAATGCCATCTCCTAAGGTACCTTTTTGGTAACCTTTTTGGTATCATGAGTTTCTCTGGCAATCTGGTGAACCCTATGGACCCTTCCTCAGAAAAATGTTTTTAAATGCATAAAACAAAATGTTTGGGATGACAAAAGGAAACCAATTATATTGAAATAAAAGTCATCAACATATATATATGTGTGTGTGTATGTATGTGTGTGTGTGTGTGTATATATATATATTTTAAGTTCATGGACCCTAGATTAAAGATCTCTGTGACCTAAGTTGTTGCAAGATTGAATTCTGCATCAATGGAGTGCTTATGCTAGTGAAAACACGAGTCCTTAAAGTAAATGTTTTGTTTTAAAAAAAATAATTATACTATATTTTAACATTCTTTTGTTAAAAATTTTGAGCTCCAAATTCTTTTTCCAGACTCTCCCCATCCCATTCAGAAGGCAAGCAATATGATATGAATTATACATGTGAAGTCATGCAAAACATAATACCATATTAGCCATGTTGCAAAAAAAAAAGAAGCAAGAAAAATAAAGTGAAAAAGGTATACTTCAATCAGCAATCAGATTCCATCAGTTCTTTCTCTGGAGGTGGATAGCATTTTTCATCATGAGTCTTTTGGAATTGTCTTGGATCATTGTATTGATTAGAGTAGCTAAGTCTTTCACAGGTGATATGTACAATTTACAAAAGTTGCTATGTACAAAGTTCTCCTGGTTTAGCTCATTTTACTTTGCATCAGTTCATATGAGTCTTCCCAAGTTTTTTTGAAACCATCCCCCTTATTGTTCCTTTTTTTTTTGTAATCTAAACAATTTTTTTTAAATGAGTTTGAAAACTTGTGGTAAAGCCTGAGTTTAGGGAAACAAAATGTTCCTGATTTCACTGATAAGTAACAATAACAAATTGTTAAAGCATTCAATAACAGAAGCTTGGTTTAGAAGCCATGGAGTTATAAATCTTAGCTATATAGTTCCAAAAAGCAAAAGGGACCATAATGAGATTTTAATGTAATTTACATAAAGTCCTTCACTGATGTCAACTATACCTCAAGGTAGCAAAGCCTCATTTAGCCATTGGTGGCTTTTGCCATTTTGTGACATATTATCTATCACATATCGTTTTAACAAGAAAATATCTAGTTTTTGGAGAAAGAAATACATAGAGAATTTTACCATTTATTTTCAGGTAGTTATAAAACCTTTCATGTGAAAACAAAACTATTAGGAAAAAAAAGTAACATTTTTCCGATGAAGTCTAGTTCCTCTGGTTCTTAATTTTAAGAGAAAGAAGGGAATTCTGACAGAGAAAGCTGGGTGAAAAAAATTTGGCCTGACTAAAATTAAGGCAGACATGATTTGTATCAGTAAGTAGTAGGGAGCCTTTTTTTTTTCTGACAAGTACTCATGGAAAACTAGACAAAATGTACTTTAAAAAGCTACTTTTTAAAAAAATGTCTTTTTAAAGTACATAAGATTGAAACAATTATTTCTAAACAACCTATACATATTGAATAAAAGATAATAGCTCTCATTCGTATTGTACTTTTAGGTTTGCAAAGCACTTTACAAATACTATCTCACTTTATCCTAACAACCTCAGCAGGTAGGTTGCTATTATTTTTCCTATTTTACAGGTGAAGGAATTGAGGCAGACAGAAACTAAGGACTTGTCCAAGGTCGTGCAGCTAGTTAAGCATCTGAGGCTAGACTTTAACTCAGGTAAAGGAGTCAAAATTAAGAACTATAATCAGCAACTTTAATTGTAGGCCATAGGAGACAAATGAGCAAAACAGTCTGAGTTGCCAGTACCCTTAACAATGGAAATACTCCTTCCCTGCATTATGGAGGTGTGACTTTCTTTCAGCTACTTTTCTCAAGAGACTAGTTTTTCTTCTGAATGTAGCCCACCACTATGGTAGCCAGAGGGTGGAAAATCAAAATAAGCTCATCTGTGCTTTGCTCCCTCAAAGCTTGCTACATTCACTGACTGGGTGAACTAGCACCTGCAGACTCCTATTACAGTGTTCTATCCACTGCATCTGGACTCAAGTGGAACTGAATGTAAATCCTGCCTCAGACCCCTGCCAGCTACACAACCCTAGGCAAGTCACTTAACCTTTCCCTGCCTGTTTCCTTTTTTTTTTTTAACATATATTTATTTTATTCTGAACTTAAGAAATAAAAGAAGCATTTCCATAACATAGTAGAATAGAAAAAATTGCACATGAAATTAAAAATCTATTATGTACAACTTGCTATTCCCTTTCAATATATAACTGTCATTTCTCATAACACAATAGTATTCCATCACAAATATCACAACTGGTTCAGCCCAATTGATTGGCATCTCTCAATCTTCAATTCTTTCTCAATACAAAAAGAACTGCTAAAAATATTTTTATACAAATTGGTCCTCTTCCCTTTTCTTTAATCTCTTTGGGATATAGACTTAGGAGTGGTATTGCTGGATCAACAGTTTTATAGCCCTTTGGGCATAGTTCTCAATTGTTCTCCAGAATAGTTGGACCAGTTGACAATTCCACTGACAATGCATTAGTGTCCCAATTTTCCCACATTTCAATCTTATGTACTTTAAAAAGACATTTTTTTAAAAAGTAGCTTTTTAAAGTACATTTTGTCTAGTTTTCCATGAGTATTTGTCAGGAAAAAAAAAAAAGGCTCCCTACTACTTACTGATACAAATCATGGTCTGCCTTAATTTTAGTCAGGCCAAATTTTTTTCACCCAGCCTTTGTTATTTTCCTTTTCTGTCATGTTGGCCAATTTAATAGGTATGAAGTTACTACCTCAGAATTGTTTTAATTTTCATTTCTCTAATCAATAGTGATTTAGAGCATTTTTATATGACTCTTGATAGCTTTGGTCTCTTCTGAAAACTGCCTGTTCATATCCTTTACATTTATCAGTTGGGAAATAGATCTTTTTTTTTTTAATAAATTTGTCTCAGTTCCTTATATGTTTGAGAAGTAAGGCCTTTATCAGAGAAATTTATTGTAAAATACAGAGATTCTGTATTGTAAAATTCCCCCTCCCTCCCCAGTTTTCTGCCTTCCTTCTAATTTTGTCTGCCTTGGTTTTATCTATGCAAAAAAAAATTTAATTTCGTGTAATCAAAATTATTCATTTTAACCTCCTATGATCTTCTCTATCTTTGTTTGGTCATAAACTCTTCCCTTATTAATAGATCTGACAGTACATTTTTTCCATACCAGTCCTCCCCCCAAATTTACTTATGATTTCACTCTTTATGTCCAAATTGTGTACCCTTTTTAACCTTATCATGGTATATGGTATGAGATGTCAATCTATACCTAGTTTCTGTCAAATTCTTTCCTGTTTTCCTAGCAGTTTTTGTACAAAAACTTGCCCCCAAAGCTTGGATCTTTGGGGTTATCAAACACCAGATTACTATGGTTATTTACTACTGTGTATTGAGTACCTAATCTATTCCACTGATCCACCCCTTTCTTAGCCAGTAGCAGATTGTTTTGTTGACTACTGCTTTGTAATATAGTTTAAAATCTGAGAATTATAGGCCACCTTCCTTCACATTTTTTTTATTGATTCCCTTGATATTCTTGACCTTTCCTTATTCCAGAAATAAATATTTTCAATTCAATAAATATTGAGCACCAGCTATGAGCAAGGTGTTGTGCTAGGCACCTGGGAGATACAAGAAGAAAAATGAAACGATTCCTTCCTTCAAATGGCTAATATTCCACTGAAGGGAATACTACACACGTACTAGCATGTAGCCACAAAAGCACTTGAAGAGAGAAGGGCAACGGAGGGACTGAACCAAACTGTAACTTTATGGGTATGGGGAACTTCCTTCTCTGTGAAAAAGTATAGTCTTAGTTGCCTAAGGCACTGAGAGGTTAAGAGACTTACCCAAGTTCTTGGCTCTGTATGGATTGTACCACACTTTCCATCTTGAAGAGGAGAAAAGAATTGCCACCTGGACTGGGATTTTAACGAAGATGTTGTTTCAAAGGTCAGAGATAAGGGAAGGCCTTCCTAGCACGGGGGACTGGGGCAGCTTTTGCACAGGCAGGGAGGAGCTGGAGGGGGTGGGGAGAGGGAGGAAGGTGCTGAGAAGAGATATAAACAACGAATCCAAGAACTTCATTCTCTCCCTGAATAAACCTCTGAAGGGCAGTCGACTATTTCAAATGCCTCTATAAATGCTCTTTTTTTTTTTTTAAAGCAAAACTGCCTTAGGAATCAGGTCTTCAGTACTTTCCCTCCCCATGACAATACAAACAGTGCAGAGTGAAAATGCATGTTTCCTACTCCAGCTTGGCTGAGATGGGGAAGATGGGATGAAAAGGAGATACAAATGAATGGATTGGAGGATCTCTGTTCCTCCAAGTTCATCCGTATAATGCGAGATGTCTTCCACCATGGTCTTACTACCACTCTACCCATCAGATAGCCTGGGTTAGGTGGGATAGCTCCCAGGCTTAGTTTAAAATGCAGCAGATATTGGATGTATGAGACGAACACAGTGTCTACTTAAACAGTCTCATGTGATCCAAGCTGAAGGTTACCAACCTCTGATCTAGACACCTGGCCAGAGGAGTGTAGGGACCAAGTCATCAGCTGGTCCAGTGTCCTCCAGCCATCCATCTGGGACTTAAACCCTGATCCTCAGGCTCTCAAGTCCACTCCAACACAGGTACTCACCCTAGGACCAACCCTTTCCCCATCCTCCAGTCCCTGTTGACACTGTTGATCACCTTCTCCTTGATACTCTCTTTTCTTTGGGTTTTCAGGCCACCACTCTCTCCTGGTTCTCCTCCTACTTATCTGACCACTGCTTCTCAGTCTCCTTTGCTGGATCCTCATCCAGATCATACCCTCTAATTTTAGGTATCCTACGGGGTTCTATTCTGGGCCTTCTCTCTATATATGAATATGAAATGGTGCTAAGAATGCAAGTAGATACTGGCATTTTGGTGGATCTGGGATTCACTGCATGCACTCATATAATCCAATCCCTCTGGGCCACTGAGTTCCTTCTACCCTTTACCTGTTTCTGTCTCAGGTGAAAAAAAATTTCTTGTTTGTATACATGGTTCCCCAATATTAGACTCTAAGGTCCTTGAGGACATAGGTTTCTCTTTCATCCTTGTATTCCCAGGGCCCTTTTGCAGTTTCTCACACACTTAATAAAGCTGTTGAACTGAATTGAAAGAACTTCACCAAAATCCATCCCATTACTATGTCTGAAAGGAGGGAGGTTATTGTAAAATTATTTTCACCATTTTTTCTACTAGTAGACAAATAAATAAACCATATTTTGTAACTTGGAGATCTTGCTCTCTTTGGCTAGTACAAAGGAAGGTGCTGCAATTACTAAGTTACCAATTTGCACGAATCTGAGCACTTTGCAGTGTATAGAAAGCTGTAGAGAAATGGTGGCAGAAACCCTTTGTGGGGACTACAAAGAGGGAATTATTTCTAGAATTATAATATATGCAAGAAATGACTGTTGAGCCTTAGTATTTTCTAAAATGACTTTTATTTAATAAGTACATAATTTTAATTTTTTCTTAAAAAAAAGGGGGGGATAATTATATTATCCTGGGCAAGTCACTTATTACCTCAAAAGAAAAAAAAAGGAAAGTGTTAGGTAACCCATTCTCTTTTTCATTTGAGTCTTCAAAATACTATGACCCACCCCCCCAACCCTTAATAAAAGTGCATAAGAAAAATTTAATCAACATAAATAAATTACAGTTATAGTGTTGGAATATACGTACTTTTAAGTAGTGCCCACAATTCTAGTTAACAGGAAAGAAAAGTTTTTTCCTAAGGGTGTATTTAGGTTGTGGCATCTGCTTCCCTTTGTTGCTGAGGTCAATTTTTTGGCTCACTTCAGAGTTTACATCTGTCAGGATGTCGAGAATAGCCACTCCTCTGAAAAACAGAATATCACAAAGGAATTAAGCAAAGGATGAATATATACTGTGGTCAACTGGGGAAGGACTCCTATTCATAACCCCAGGGTTCCAATATGGTCAGTAAGGTCAGTGGGTTCCCAAAGTCATGTGAGCTAGTGGTCACAGTGCTTTTCCTCTCCCCCAATAAGGGTACCCTAGGGAAGAATGGACTGTGAATTTTTTTTCCCTAAACCATACTCCACAATACTCTACCATCCACTAAGTCTTGGAGTGACACCAACCTCAATTTCTCTATCTGTGATAAGGAAAAGGACACTGGACATCATAGAGTTGCCTGAAAGAACTGCCTATAAAATACTCAATTCTTCAAAAGAAAGTACATAGAAAGGTGGCATAATCAGGGAGGAAAGGTAATTGCTATGCTGTACGTCCACCATAAACATGAAGCATTTTCTCAATGTCTGAGAATATTAGGATTGCAAGGTTGAGTGGGCAGGTATTTAGAGGTAAGTGCTAAGGGCAGGCCAAGGGGAAGGGAAGAAAAAAGGGTTAGGGAGGTCATAATTACCGAGGACATTTTTCCTTCAGATTCTTGCAAAGGGACTGTATGTACCAGGTCCCCTCCTTTGGGTGTCGGTAAGAGATATGATTCTCCACAGTTGCCATCCCAAGCAAAAAGTCGGCCTCATCTGGAATGCATTCACTCTGAAGAAATGCATCCATTTCCAGAGATTCTCTTTGCTGCTCAGAATCTGTATCCAGCGTGATACCACTCTGGATGGTCTTGCCTTGACAAGCTTGAATAAAAAATACTTTGGGTTTACCAGCAAGGGACGGGCACTTGGAACTAGAGAAATACGATGTCAGATCCTTGATGGCCACCTCCTGCCCATCAATGCCATAGATGGTGCCTCTATCCCCATGGGACAGGAGGCAGCAAACAAAGCAATCTTTGCCATCATGGTTCCTGTCCTGGAAGTTCTGCAGGTCATTGTGTATTTGCTCTGCTGTGCGATCCTGGAAATGTACGACTTCAAAATGAAGCTTCTTGAAGGTGTTTTTCAGAGCCTCTAAGAAGGGAACCAGAAGAAAACACCTCAGTGAACTAAGAGTGGAGGCATAGAAGAATTTGCTACAAATCACACCCCACTAAATGACTGCCTGGCTCCTTCAGATGACTGGTACTTGGGCTTAGCAGATGCATCACTGCCCCAGGACTCAGATGGATAAGAGGAAGGGTGAAGATCATTTTTATAAATTGATTTACCACAACAGATAGCCTGCAAGTTCTGTTGTTGTTGTTTAGTAGTTTTCAGTTGTGTCCAACTCTTCATGACCCCATTTGGAGTTTTCTTAGCCCAGAAGCTGGACTGGTTTGCCATTTCTTTCTCCAGCTCATTTTACAGATGGGGAAACTGAGGCAAATGGAGTTAAGTGACTTGCCTAGGATCACACATCTAGTAAGTGTCTGAGGCCAGATTTGAACTCAGGAAGATGAGTCTTCCTGATTCCAGGACCAGCACTCTATCCACTGGGCCACTTAGCTGCCCCTAGTCTGCAAGACCATGTGATAAAATATTTATTAGGGTTATTCCACTGAGCCATCTCCAGTTTTCCTGATCTATAATCTGGCCACTGGACTCAAATGGCTCTAGAGGAGAAAGTAAGGCTGGTGACTCTGCACAGCCCTCTTTCACTTAAATCCAATTCACTTGCAAGTCATGGCATCATCATCCTCTTCATCCTCTTCAAGAACGAAGGACAAAACACAAGGGTTATTCCAAAAAGAAAGAACTGTTGGAATCATACTTCATTTATCCTTAAAACTTACCTTTGGTAGTTATCCAAAGGAATTTTTTTTTGTAAAGTCAGTCAACAAGCATTTAAGGGTTTACTAAGTTAGTGGGTAAGTGACTTGACCAAGGTCACACAGCTACTGAGTGGCAGAGCTGGAACTTAACCTCGGGTCCTCAGACTCTCAAATCCACTCCACCACAGGCACCCCGGCACCAAACCTTTCCCCATCCTCCAGTCCCTATTTGACACTGGTGATCACCCTCTCCCCCTTGGTACTCTCTTTCCTTTTGGTTTTCAGGCCACCACTCTCTCTCGGTTCTCTTCCTAATTCTCTGACCAGTGCTTCTCAGTCTCCTTTTCTGGATCCTCCTCCAGACCATGCCCTCTAATGGTAGGGTTCTGTCCTGGGTCCTCTTCTCTTCTCCCTCTTTACTACTTGGTGAGCTCATCAGCTCCTATGGATTTAATTCCCAACTTTACACCGATGATTCTCAAACCTATCTATCCTGCCCCAATCTCCCTGCTAACCTCCAGCCTTGCTCTCTGGCTGCCTTTCAGAAATCTCAGCCTGGATGTCCAATGTATGTCTTAAACTTAACACGTCCAAAACTGAATTCATCTCTCCCCCTAAATTCCCATCCCTTCTAATTTCTATATTACTATTGAGAACACCAGCACGCTCCCAGTCCCCCAGGTTCTCCATATAGAGGTCATCCTGAACTTGTCACTATCTCTCACACCCCCGTATCCGATCTGTTGCCAAGGCCCGTCGACTTCACCCTCGAAACATCTCTCAAATGCTCTCTCTTCTCTGATATTGCTACCACGTTGGTGTGGGCCCTCATCTCCTCACACCTGGAAGTTACTGAAATAACCTGCTGGTGGGTCTGCCAGCCTCAAGTCTCTCCTATGCCAATCCAGCCCCACAGGTGATTTTCCTATAGCACAGGTCTAACCGTGTCACCTTCACTCAGTAAACTCCAGTGGCTTCCTATCACCTCTAGGATCAAATACAAAAATCCTCTGGTTGGTGTTCAAAGCCGTTCACAATCTAGGCCGTGCCCTGCTGCTACCCCAACCTTTCCAGATACACATCAGCACAATTGGAGATGGCCCCAATTTGATTTTTTTTTTTTTGGACTAGGTTAAAGAGGTCATTCGTTGCCTCATTTTTTTTTTTAAACTTAGCCTCAGTCACTAAATGGGTGTTGCCTCAATCAAATTGGGACCTGCCAAAGACCTTAGCTTTAAAAAGGCCATGGTTTCCCACTGCATCTGGGGTCATCTCCAGTCATCCTGATGTGTATCTGGCCACTGGACCCAGATGACTCCAGAGGAGAAAATGAGGCTGATGACTTTGCAAAGTCCTCCCTCACTTGAATCCACTTCACTCGCATGTCATTGCACCACCTCCCCGATGACACGGTCCTCTTGGAGCATGAAGGACAAATGATCCACCTTTACTCCCTGCAAGAGACTGTTCAATCTCGTGACACTGGTCTCCTGGCTGTTCTATTAACAAGACATTCACCTCCTGGCTAAGACCATTTTCTCTGGTTGTCCCCCACGCCTCGAATGTTCTTGCTCCTCATCTCTGACTTCCCTGGCTTCCTTCAAGTCCCAACTAAAATCCCACCTTCCACAGAAAGCCTTTCCCAATCTCTCTGAATTCTGGCACCTTCCTTCTGTTAATTATTTCTTATTTATTTCTTGTTTGTACATATCTGTTTGCTTACTATCTTCCCCATGAGATTGTGAGTTCAAGGGAAGGGACTGCTTTTTGCCTCTTTTTGTACCCCCAGTGCTTAGCACAGTACCTGGCACGCAAAGGGGACTTAATAAGGTTTTTTGACTATGTTGGGTGCTATGCTAAGTGCTACAGATACACAAAAGAAAAAGACAAAAAACAAAAAAACACAGAAAACCAGAGCTCCTGACCTCAAAGACTATATATATTCCACTGGAAAGATACAAATATCTGGGGAAGGGAAAAGGCCTCCTGCAAAAAGAAGATTTTGCTATTTGATTTGGCTATGTGGAATAAAGGCCACTGTGAGATGTTGAGTTTGACACCAAGGTCGTAAGCCTGGGTGACTGGAAAGATGGAGGTGGCCTCAAAGTTCAAGTTCAGAAGGGGGATGGTTTTGAGAGGGGAAGGTGACCGGAAGTTTTGTTTTGAACATGTTGAGTTTGAGATGCCTATGGGATGGGGCAGCTAGGTGGCACAATAGACAGAGCACCAGCCCTGGAGTCAGGAGGACCTGAATTCAAATCCAGCCTCAGACACTTGACCCTAGCTGTGTGACCCTGGACAACTCACTTAACCCCAACTGCCTCACCAGAAAAGAAAAAAAGGAAAAAAAAAGTTGCCTATGGGACATCAAGTGATAGATGTCCAAAAGGCAGCTGATCAAGAGGAACTAAGTTTCAGGAGAGAAAAGAAGAATAACTATTTCCATCTGGGAGTCATCTGTATAGATATAATACTTGAATACTTGAACCCATGGATTGGTGATAAGATCAGCAAGTGAGAAATTATCGAGTGAAAAAGAAGAGGGCCTGGGACACAGCCTTGGACCAAGGACACCCATGGTTAGTGAACCTGACATAGAAGAAGAATCAAGAGCCTAAGGAGCCTGAGGAGTAGTCAACTAACTTGGAATGGGGGATGGGTTGAAGAGCAGGTTATGGCAGTGCAAAGGTTAGGACAACTGGGCGGGGGGAGGAGACAGGTCAACTGTCCAAGAAGTGACCAGACAATCGATCCTGTGGATAGGAACTGGAATGAAGATCAGGGAGAGAAGGAGGTCAAGGGTAGGGTCCAAGATAGGTTCCAGCAGTGGGGCATCATGAGAAGGTTGACCTGTGGACAGTTTTGCCATGACTCAGTTACAGAAAGGGGACTGAAGTTCCCTCATGATGGAGGATAAGAGAAATGATTTATTTCTCTGTCATATTAATAACCAATTATTAATTGAGATCAAGATTTTTTTTTTCTATTTCCTCATTCAGAAACAAAGCCTTGTAGGTTAATACAGCCAATATATGAAGAACATCACTGACCTTGCTGGAAAATGTTACCCCACCTTGACCATCTTACCTAGGTAGAAATGTTACCCTACCCAACCAGAAAAACCTTACAAAGAGAAATCTAGGCGAATTCCAGACCATTGTGTTCTACTCAGGCTTAGGGGGTGGGAGGGTGGGAGTAAAGATCCTTTATCTAGATTGCCTGAGGCTGAGGGTGGTCTGAGAGTAAGAGTGGCATAATTAAAGTCACCTTCTTCCAGCCTCTCATTAGAATAGGTCCACCCAATTATAATATTCATTCTGTCATTAATTGTTAACCAATTTATTGCCACCTGTTGGGAACACCCACTCTTTTAAAGGTATATAAGCATCAAGACGCCTCTAGGAGGGGGTCTTTTGTTTATGAGAGAAGATCATAATTAATAAAATGATTAATTACCCAGAAATTATGTCTCTTGAACTTTTTATATATCACAGTTAAAAAGCACATTCTATTCCTCACTCTCCCCACCAATTATTGGTACTCAAAAACTAAACCCTAATTTCCCCACATTAGTTATATCTCTGGATATAAGTGATAGGGGTGGAGAACAGGACATCTGTCACACTGGAAGGTCTGAATCTGACCTTCAGAAAAACCAATAAAGTTTATATGTGAACTGAATCATAATTGGTTGATATTTCAGAACTTCTCAGGATAAATGGCTATGATAGGAGAGAACGTAAACTGAAACACTTTCCCAATTCATTTCTATTGGACACATCGAAGTTTAGGAAAAGATACCTATTACTTGGCTTTGGAATTGAAACTCATTACTCCTGGTCTCTAATTTGAAGACTCACTTATGAAGAATCATATACAGGACTTAGAGATGGAAAGGACCTTAGACCATCTGGCCTGACCAGGGCTTAGTCAGCCTACACCATGGTGACTCCCTTGCCTAGTGAAGATAGAGGCTGAAGCTCGCTTCAGTGAGAAAACATATTCAGAGTTGGGATTTAGTGGATAGCAGTCTAGCATAGATGTCCTCCCAGCCCTAACCGCTGAAAGTTTCCCAGCAAAGTTTCCTGCCTGCAGGTGCCTCTGATTCTGTTGTACCTGCATCTACATCAGTCCCTTTCCTGTCCCTTATGTTCTGGTGCTCAGGCTTTTCCTTCCGTGCTCTTTGGAAGTCAAAGTTGTTGATGATCAAGCAGTATCCCCGAGGCTTGCTGCTCATTTTGTAAGCTTTGTCCTGGTCCTGAAAAAATGAAGACACAAAACAAACTTCTCACTCTGTGAGCCCCAGCCCAAATAGTTCATACAGAACTTCATTTATAAAACAACGAGGCTGAACTAAATGACTCCCAAAGTCCTTTCTCTCTCCAATATGCCTTCTCTTTTTTCTCACCAACACTGATACACACCCCACAGTCCTCCCCAAGAAAGGGATACTTCTCCAAAGCTCCTGGCGCCATTCCCCTCACTTTTTCTGTTTCCTCTCTATCATTGCTATCTTTTGCATCTAACAATAATTCCATATATACACTGAGCACTGGACAGGTCAGGGCATTTTTAGCAATATATTAAATGTAAATATTATGCATATATGTATACATGTATGTATCTGAGGCTTTTTAGAGGTGTGTGAGGCAGGGAGAGGTTGGTTCAGACCTACAATTTTATCATTGTGGGGATATTTTCTTCACTGAATAAAATCAGTAACACATCTATAAGCTATAATCTTAGATACAGACAAGACTTGAAGTGATATTTTCCTAATTCTAAAGTCAGCTGTCTATATACCACACCACACTGTTTCTCATACATGATGTCAATCTGAAAAACAACCATGGGAGGTGGGTAGAAAAGCTTTTTTTTTTTAGATGAGGAAACTGAGACCACTGACCTCTGTCTATAGTGTACTTGCTTGCCAAAAAGTGTTATATAGCTAGAACCCACCTCCTTTGGCTCCAAGTCAATAGCTATTGAAAATGTGTTCTGCTTCTCAGGGGTGTGATGGAGCTCAGCTGAACCAATTGTTCAACTTTCAGTGTGGGCCTTTCAACCTTGGAAATTGGCAAATGTCACAAATGAGGGCTTAATTTCCTGTTTTGTTGATTGACTAGCCTTTTTAAAGTTATGGACAAAGTGTGAACAATGTGGATTAAACTTTAAAAGCGTGCCAAGTGAACATTTTTTTCCCTTCAGAGAGCCGGTGTTAAATATGTAACCCACACCCCTGCCTACAACACAGGGGCTTTCTAGGGACATCTCATGTTGGCCAAGATTTTATCAGGCAGGATGGCCCTGTGGCATGGAGCTCAGATCCTGTTCTGTCAAATGCTAGGGCTGTGAGAGGTGGCCCTTTTGGTCCTACTTACCTGCTCAAGAAGGTGCCTTGCACGCTGAGTTTAGGACTCTGAATGGCCAAAAGGGACAGTAGGGATTTAATTTATTTGTGAAGGAAAATGATTGCTTCCTGCTTACTAAGAGGATGAAGGGACTAGTTGGCTGATCAAGAATTCTGGATCCTTCCACAACAAGCAACAGCAGCGGAATTTGGGGGCCTCGAAGGATCTTATTACAGCCAGGTACCATAGGGAAAGGTGGGAAGCTTTGCTTTAGGGTCCTGCCACTAATCCCTGATAGGGGCAACTAGGTGGTACAGTGGATAGACCACTGAACCTAAAGTCAGAAAAACCCTGAGTTCAAATCCAGCCCGAGATACTTCCAAGCTGTGAGACCCTGGGCAAGTCACTTATCCTGGTTTGCCTCAGTTTCCTCATATGTAAAATGAGCTGGAGAAAGAAATGGCAAACTACTCCAGTATCTTTGTCAAGAAAACCCCAAAAGGGGTCACAAAGAATCAGATGCAACTGAAATGCCTGGACAACAACAACTTATCCCTGATAACTCATCTTAAATACTTCCTCACTATGGGCAGGAAGAGAAGGTCTGGAGTGCCTCCTCTGTCTATCCAATATCTCTACCTTGGGTCTCAATATACAGAAGACTTTTTCATGTTTCTGTCTCTCTATTCATCTAACAACTATAAAAATGGAAAACAATAATATAATATGGAAGGGAATGGGGAAGGATGAAACAGGAAGTTGGGCTGTAAATATACCTTTTCTCCTGGAAAATCTCCAGATGTTGCCTGAAGATCATTCATCATTTCTTCAACTAAAAGTAAGCAAGATAGGACTAGAATGAGATGGGCTTAAGGGGGAGCAAAGAAAAATGCAATATTCTAGATACATCTAGGATGCTTTTCACACTGACAGTTCAGTTTACAAAAGGGATTTCTTAGGCCAGATCTTATGTTGACCTGAGAAATTAGCCATCTTTCAGGGGTGATACTTGATGAGACTGATATGAGCTCAGAATGCTCTACCACAGGTCGGGCACAAATAGTCCATGTGAACATTTGGGGTGGAATTAGGCCTGTGTCCTCCCATAAGAAATTACTTTGCATATATATTGTATTTGTACATGTTGTTTCTTCACAATAGACTACAAGTTACTTGAGGGCAGGAACTGATTCATTTGATCATTGTATTCCCAATACTTAGCAGAATGGTTGGCATAAAAATGCTGGTTGTATTGAATTGAACAGCAGAAAGGAGGAGGGAAAATAGATAAAAGTAAGTAAAATACATATATTCCCCAAACTTATCTTTATGTATTACCATCCTGGATTTCCACTGGAACTCTTTCTGTGCTTCTTTCCACTAGATTTTTTTAAAAGAATCAACATTTGATTAGAGGCCCTTGTGACAATAATGATGTCAAATCATGAGCAAATTTTGACAAATAAGAAACAAGTTTTTCCACCTCTGTTTGATTCATAGTCTTTGATTTTCTTCAGCAGGTTCTTGTCAATGACATCACAAACTGCCTTCAGGTCATCCAGGTTTCCTTCTCCTAGAATTCCCCGTTTCTCCATCTCAATGAAAATATCAATCAAGGTCTGGTGGAAAGGAGAGGACAAGTAGGAAAACAGCAGTTGAAAAGACTGGTCTGTGAGCTACATTGTTCTTCAGGTATTAGCATTTTTGCTTCCTTCTACATTCTCAGAATCAAGGAGACTTTATACCCCCCCCCAATTTGAATTGGTCAAAGATCCTTTGTCATAAAAGGTTTTTTTAAGAGTCTTTAGACAACCTGCCCTGTATTTTCTGGGCATGTTCTGGTCTGTAAAGATAATGACAGATGAAGGGGGATCATCTCAGACTCCATGTAGTCCTTAGCATCTCTATCATGGGTCAGCTCAGAGATTTCAGTTCTATAGGATAAGTAAAGTTCAGGGCTGAGACACAGATCTAAAAATTATGGCATCAGACCTGGATCTAATCATGACATCGCTGACTCTGTCCCTCAAGTCCACTGCCAGCTCTGCAAACTTATGGCTCATCCTAGGATCTGAGAAAGCTGGAGGCCAGAAGAAAGGCAATATGGCATGTGTGATTACAGTGCTGGCTGTATAGCAGGGAAAAGCTGGGTTCAAGTGCCCCATCTGACACTAGCTATGTAACCATGGAGCAGTCACTTAAACTCACCGAGCATTTCCTGAACTGTAAAATGAACGAGTTGGACTAGATCAGGGGTGGGGAACCTGTGGCCTCGAGGCCACATGTGGCCCTCTAGGGCTGATTCAGTCAAAGGGCCAGACTTGAGGACCTAGAGGGCCACATGTGGCCTCGAGGGAGAAGGCTCCCCAACCTTAGACTAGATGATCTTTTATGGCCTTTGCCTGCTCTAAATCTATGATCTTATAACCAAAGAGAACTGAGAATTATCCAAGGCAGATCAATTGTTCTAGCCCTGCTGAGACTCCCTTTTTTTGTATATCCAAACATGAAGCCCATTTTTTGCTAGAGATAACTTTTTCGTTCTCCTTACCACAGCCAAGATCCTACTGTACTGTAAGGGTCCCATCAACCAATACTGCTAATCTCAGCCAAGTCTGCCTGAGAATTAGATGGTGGCAGGCTGTTACTTATACCTGAAAAGCCTTCTGTCCCTTCTCTTCAATCCTCTCTACCCCAACCCATTCTCAGAAAGCACTCTGGTTCACAAAGCACAGCAATGCCAGCTCTTACCATATTATCTTCTAGTTTGCACTTGGGAATCTTGCGACTCAACATAAATTTAATAGATTTCAATTCAAATTTTGCCACATTTTCGGAAAGATCAAAAAGCAGGACCCTGGAGTGGGAAATGAAGAAACTTTTAAAAATGATTCCTTGAGGCATTTTATAAGTTCTTACTCATTTTTTTTTCTTTTTTGAATCTGGATTTAACGAAGACCAAATAAAATGGGCGTTTCCATATACACAGAACAGAAAAAAGGATTGTACAGAATACTGTAGTTCTCTTTTACAAACAACTTGCTACCCTTTTAAGAATCAGTAAGTTCAGCCTGTAGCTATCAACATTGTCCTGTTTGTCTATGCTTCTTTCTATATTTCCTTCTGTTTTCTCTTCCTCCTTTTAAAAAATGATTCTTCAATGTCTCAAAGACTTTTCTCCCCCACCTCTTTTTGTTTATCTCTAACCATCCCTCTCACTTTCCTCCCACCATTGGGGGGGGTAAAGGAAGGAAAAGAAAAACAAATCCCTCATAATAAATATGCAAAACCACTCAAAATAAATCCCCACAACATCTGTGTCCTGAAAAAGTCTTATGTTGCATCACGGAGTGCCTATAGGCATTTCAGTCAAAGCAAGGGGCAGCATGATTTAATGGAAAGAGCAGATTAGGGAACCTGAATTTAAATCTCAGCTCTCCTACTTACCCCCCCTGTAAGCTTGAATGGGCCATTTAAGATTTCTGGGACCCAGTTTCCAAATCTGTAAAATGAGGAGGTCTCCTCCAGTTCCAATCTTATGATTCTGTGACTAGGCAACACTTTAACACTAAATTGGGAGATCCATTCATTCATTCACTTATTTATTTATTTACTCATTCATTTATTTGCTCATTTATTCATCCATTCATTCTCTTATTCATTCATTCATTTCAAAGGTGCCTAAACTGTAGGAATCCTGGAGGATGTGTCTGCTTTATACACCCTGATCATGCAATTCCTATTAGCCAAAAAAGCTTCATGAGAGGCCATAAATAACTCTCTGATTCTTACAGAAGTGGCGTAGTGTAATGAGTTGAGTGTTGAACATGAGAGTGAAGGCCTGGGTTCAAATCCCACCACTGATACTGTTTGACCATGTGTAAGTCATTTAACTTCTCTGTACCTCACTTTCCTCAGCCATAAAATGATGGTACAAGTAGTTACCTTACAAGCTTGTTTTAAGGCTCAATCATAAGCTCTTTAAGGGTAGGGACTATCTTTTGCCTCTTTTTATATCCCCAGCTTAATGTAGTGGCTGGCACATAGTAGGTGCTTAATAAATGCTGACTGACTGACTGGATGTAAAGTACTTTATAATTGTCAGAGCACTACATGATCTAGAATGTGAGCTCTTCCCATCAGTTGAGCTCCCTGAAGGAAGGAACATCATGTTTTTGCCTTTCTTTGTATCCCCAGTGGTTAACACAGGGCCTGACACATAACATATGTTTGTTGAATGACAAAAAATGTCAGTGATGAGTATGATGATGTATCGACCCTTCCTCCATGAAAATCCTCCTCCAAAGCCTCCTACAGATATGAATGTGACCATGGGACCTTTTTTTTTTCTTAAGGTTTGCAGCCTATTTTATTTTATTTTTTCTCAATTAGCATTCTTCCCCTCTCATTAATCCCATCTTTGGGGGGGGGGAACAAAGAAAATAGAAAAACATACCCCTTATAACAAATGTGGATTGTCAAGCAAAACAATTCCCATGTTGGCCATATCCTGACCTTGCCATCTTAAAGGCCATGAAAAGCTCTGATGGGCCCTACAAAACTGGAAAAGTTTCAAGTTCAGGTTAATATGGGACCAGCAATGGACTGTCATTTGAGGACCAGTCCAGCTAAATTTCAGGATACTCTTTACCAAAAGCTGGCCCCAAGCACTAAGAAAACCCCCTCCCCTCAGGTGAATCTGAGGTTACCATCTTCCTTGGTAGGAGTACCCACAAAGATAAAAAATCACCCACTTTTTGGGGTGATTTGTATCCCCATTGCCTAGCACAATGACTGATTCATCATAGGAGCTTAATAAATGCTTGATGCCTAAATGATTGATTACTACCACCATATGTTTACAATTTGATTTGTCTTCACATTTTGGAAATTAAGAAGACTGAGGCATATGTTTGTGAAGCCTGCAAAATGCTACATAATGTCTTACATTTGTGGATTGTTAGGCCTTAGCCACAATTCATCCAATTTGGGGAGCCAGGCTTTCAGGAGGGCCAAGATAATGGACAGAAGATGGAACCCAACAGTTTAATAAATTCTTGTTGGATTAGATTGGATTGGACCCCTCATCTAATTCTCTAAATTCAGAGGTTCCTGTTCCTTGATTGGGCTTAACTAATAAACTCCTTGTGCTTGGAATTATCTTTATCCATAAATACCTATAATCTGATTTTTTAAATTTATTTAAAGTTTAAGCAAGCCAAATTCTACTGATATTCAACTCCAAATTAGGTTGGCTATTCATAAGAGAATGAAACATTATTAATTAAGTACTTAATATGTGCCAGGTGTTGTGTTAAAAATCATGGAAATCACAAAAATTAATTACAGATTGTGACAGGCAAGCAGAGCTGGTTAAAGGCAAGATAGTGACCTGGGGAACTGGCTTTTTCAAGGCCTTTAGTTTCTCCCTTCTGATGCTCCTTTTCTCTTTCTTGTTTTCTTTCAATCATTGGCTTGAGAGCCTTTGCCATCTCTTTGCTCTTCCCCATCATCAACACCTGCTCTTAGTAAATTATTTGATATGAATTGTGAAGAAACCACACTGTAACTGACAAATGCTGTTTTGTTCAAGTTATGAAACTTACCACAAAGCGCCAACTTTAAATGAAAAAATAACCACTTTGGAGAATTTTTTTTTTTAAATCACACCAAGATTGCTGTTATACTATTAAGAAGGCAGGGAAGTGTATTATTTCACATTTTCTTAATTACTCTCTCATCATCGCTGTCATAATTATTATAGTATTGTGAATAATGTAGCACCCAGAGGCCATGAGGAAATGTGCAGGGCCATTTGTCTTTAAATTAAATCATTCCAGATTGATGTGCCTTTTTGAGTTCTTATGTCTAACTTTTACCTTTTCCTGTTTACTCTCTAGCTGTCAGGATGTAGGCTATTTCGTTTTCACTCTGACTCATTCCCCTTTCCCCTATATCCAATCAGTTGCCTAGACTTGTCATTTCTCCCTCTTCTACATTTCTCCCATCAGTCCCTCTTCGTCACACCGAAAACATCTTTATTCAGTCCCTGATCTCTTCTCACCTACATCATTGCAATAGCCTTGAAAATGAACATGTTATATTCTCTTCTCTACCCCAGCCCACCCCCAGTACAATGTAAACTCCTTAAAGACAATGACTACTTCATTTTTGTCTTGGTATCCACCCCCCAAAGCTTCATACAATGGTTGGCACATAGAAGGTACTTGACAAATGCTTGCTAATTAATGTTAATTAAGTCTTGTTATTGTCTTAAGAAACATACTCAACATGGTGGAGAGGGCGCCTGTGACAGCCGGTACAGCCAGCCCCAAGCTTACTTTGCTGCTGACCTCAGACGTCCCATGTCCGGCCCCAGGATGGGTGACTCATCCTGGGGTAAAGGAATGTAATCTGCCCTACCCTGGTGGGAAAGTCCTTGAAAGAGTGGCTAGGTAACCCTGGGGAATGGTAGCCTAGTGCCTGGTAAGGAAGAGGAATGATTGGGCAGGAAAGCATAATCCTCTGGAGGATTAGGAATCTCACTCCCCAGGATGTCAGCATCTGGGCAGAGCCTCGGTCACACTTTGGCTGGGAGTTGGAGATCAGAAAATTCCCAATACCTGTCTACGCCAGCCCCTGAGAGAAGTGAGACTGTTCGGGTTTGAAAAGACAGCCTATTTTCTTCACTCATCTAGAGTGAAAGGGGAGGAGAGGCCCTTGAGAAATATGGAATGTGAAGGAAGAGAGCAGGGAGGAAAGCACATCAGCAGATGATCAGAAGCCATTTCAGGCATGGACACTCAGACAGGAAGCAGCCAGCACAGCTGGCTTTTGAGACACAGACAAGCTCCACCCCTGCACCTGCCATTTTCAGACTGGCTGTTTGAATTGTCATGACTTTGTCTCAGCTGAGGGCTCTTGAGCAAAATGAAAATCTTATTGATCTTCTATGCATAAGCTCCCCAAATCAGGGTACAGAAATGAGGGGACTGACTTCATTTATTCCCCACCCACCCACCCAAGGCAACATGATATAGTGACAAGAGCACAGTTTTATAATTATAGGGCATGGGTTCAAATCTTAACCTGTATGACCTTGGGAAAGTCATTTACTATCACTGGGCCTCAATTTCCTTATCTATAAAGTGAAAGCATTAGGCTAAATGATATCTCAATTATAAATCTATGATACACTCATCTCTTAGAGCAAGGCTGATAGGGAAGTAAAATTTTTGGAAAAATTTAGAGCTAATAGAGAAAATATAGTAACTATGTTTAGTATTCTTTTTATGCATTAATGTTGAGATAGGATTAGTACCAGTAATGTAGGGTAGATTAGATTCCTTTCTGAAAATATTAATAATATACTAGAGCAGGGGTGGGGAACCTGTAGCCACGAGGCCTAAACCCTAATCTGTAAGTGAATTTGTTCTCTGAAGTTTGGATTCAAAGGGTGGCACTTGAGGACCCAGAGGACCCCCTACATGGCATCAAGGCCACAGGCTCCCCACCCCTGTTAGAGTATGGAAACCAATATGAGGCAGCCGGGCAGAGTGGACAGAGTCAAAGTCAAGAAGACTTTGGGCAACTCATTGAACCTCTCAGTGACCTTCCAGGTCCTCAGTGTTACCTTTTGACTGAATCCAAGGGCTAAAGAACAAATCCTTTTATTAAGGGAATTTGTTCTGTGAAGTTTGGATGCAGTCAAAGGGCTGCACTTGAAGACCTAGAGGGCCACATATGGCCTTGAGGCTGCAGGTTCCCCACCCCTGCTCTAAGATAAGAAATTTTAGAGCAGGCACATAATCTTCTTCAGGAGAGGAAATTCTCCCACTGAAAGTCTCCTATACTAACAAAATCACAAGTCCAGTCCTATCGTATCCCATGGCATCTGATAATCCAAATATAATAATTCTATAACTTTGAATAAGAATGGGTTTAATTCCCCTGTTAAAAAACTACACTATATTTCCTATAGAAACATGCCTAAAGTAGATACATAAAGCCTAATATAGAATTAAAACGTGAGAATGGGCTTAAATTAACCATGCTTTGGCTATAGCCAGAAAATTAAAATTTGTGGCCATGGCATCTAGAGGAGACTGAATTCAAATTAAAAAGATTAAAAGAGATAAAGAAGGGAACAATAGGGACAGCTAGGTGGTGCAGTGGATAGAGCACCAGCCCTGAAGTCAGGAGGACCTGAGTTCAAATCTGGCCTCAGACCAAACACTTGACACATACTAGCTGTGTGACCTTAGGCAAGTCACTTAACCTCAACTGCCTCACCAAAAAAAAGAAAAGAAAAAAAAAAGAAGGGAACAATATATCATACTTGAAGGTGACATTGAAAGAATATCAGTTTTAAATATCTGTCTGCCTAATGGAACAGAGAACAAATTGATCAAAGAAAAATTAGCTGAGTAGGAGATAAAGCTTTGAACTTAAGAGTCAGAAAGACTTGAATTCAAACACTGCCTCAGGTACTTACTAGAATGTGTGACCCTAGACAAGTCACTTAACTTCACTTTCTTCAGCTATTAAAAAAAGGGATAATAATGACACCTACCTCACTGGGTCATTGTGAAGGTCAAATGGTATATAAAATACTTTGAAAATCTTATAACAAGAACTATAAAAATTTTAGCTACTACATAGGTACAAAGAAATAACTAGACAGAAAAACTAAGGGCAATATTTCAATACCCCACTAATGGAATATGATAAATCAAACAAATATATAAGCATGAAAGAATCTGAAGATGTGAGGAGTGCTGAAGAAATTGGATTGGATAGTTATGTGGTAAGAACTAAATGAGAAGTGTAGGAAATATTTTTATTCAAGTATAGATGCATTTATCAGTCAATCAATAAGCATTTATTAAGTATCTATTATGACAAGTACCATGCACAGTTTTATAAAAAAATTATTGCACTTTAAGTATCTATAAAGAGCATATATAAAAGATATATAAAAAGATATATAAAAAGAAATTTAAAATATTACATTTGCAAACCTAAATGCAAAAAAAAGTAATTAACAAAGGAAACATTAAAATATGTAGAATAGAAAAAAATTGATTTGATTAATTATGCTTGAGATAAATTCAAATTATAGAAACTACAGTGAGAGAGAAAGAGAATATTCAACACCAAGTAATCATTGGTCTGATCAAACAAAAATAAAAAACAAATCCCAAAACCAATTTAAATACAACATATCCCAATTAATGGGTTGCAGCTATAGCAACATATACAAATTAATTGCAATAACAACACCAGTGGGCAACTGTAGAATTAAGTAAAGTGATAAAATTCACAAGAAAATTAAAAGGATAAGAACATTACGGAGAAATGAAAAAAAAAATGGAGAGAACTGGGGACTCAAAAATTCAGATATCCAATTCTACTATAAATCACTAATTGTTAAAACTACTTGAAAATGGATTTTTAAAAATAGGGGGAAAAAAAGTGCTGCATAAATTCAAGATTATAAAACTCTAGGATGTAACCCATTATTCAGGAAAAGAAATTAGGAAAATTGGATGGCAAAACATGAGGAAAATTGACATTCTATCCATGTAGAACAGTAAAATTCAAATGGCTTAATAATCCAAATATAAAAAATAAAATTAGAAACTAATGGAAGGAATATATATTGTAATTGTGAAAATGTTTATGTTTTCCAGGCATTCAACAGAAGATACTGTAAGAGAAAAAAACATGATTTTTATTAAAAATAACTTCTGCACAGCAAAAAGCAATATATCTAGAATAAAAAGTAAAAATCAGAGCCGGAAAAACTTTGTAATGAAATTTTCTGGTAAAAATCTGACATCCAAAATATGAATGATGATGATAATGATGCCTGGCCATAAATCTGTATACCATTTTAAAGTTTGCTAAGCATTTCTCTCATGTGATCCTAGTAACTAAACCAGACACTCGGTTTCATTGCTCATGGAAAGCAATGTAGATCTACCCTGTAAGGACCATGAAAGTGTTTGAACCCTTTCACTCCCTGATTCTAGTCCTAGGACAATACCCTAATAGAATGCTATTGACAAGAAATTTAAAAAGGACCTGTCCATTCAAAGTATCCCAAGCAGTGCTCATACCAAATAATGTGCAAACAATCTATGTGACCAATTATCATGGAATGGCCTAGCAAATTGTAGTTCATAAATGTAATCTTATTCCATGAGATATAATAAATAGGGAGAGTGCAAAGAAATATGAAAAGACTTATGAAATGAAGCCAAGCAAACAAGCATAATCAAAGAATGACCTAGTGACTACAACTATGTATATAATAACAGAATTAGTAAAAAAAAACTCGGAAAAACATACAAATGGGGACATGGAAACAAACAGTAAATTTTGTGCCTAGGCTGTTAAAGTTAACATACATGGACACTTTGAAAAATCTGTTATTTCACCTGTGTAGGGAACTCTTAGTGAGGATACTTTCTCTACTAGCACAGATAAAGTACCTGTTCTAAACTTAAGAGTTAACTAGGGACCAGAGAAGTTATGGGTCCTGCCCAGGGCTACACAGCCAGTATATTACTGAAGCTGGTCTCTCTCCACAGCCACCTATTGATACAAACTTAAAAAAGGACAGAGTGCCCCAAAAGCCTTAGTGTAGTTTTAAACTTGAATATCCTATAGATAGGTACATTAAAAAAAAAAAATACATATTGGGCAGCTAGGTGGTGCACCACCCCTGGAGTCAGGAGGACTTGAGTTCAAATCCAGCCTCCCACATTTATTAGCTGTGCGACCCTGGGCAGGTCACTTAACCCCAAATGCCTCAAAAGAAATTTTTAAAATATATATTCACATTTAAAATAATGTATATTGCCTTAAGATGTGTAGATATTTTTACATATATAGACATATTCAATACTTAAAAACAAATTATAAAATGAAGTTTATAGTTCTATGTGCAATCATTTATAACCATTTAAAAAATGTTTAAATGTTTAAAAGTGTTTAAATGTTTCTGTGGATGGGTGCAGAGAGGACAATAAAAATAAAAACAAGAATACTTTTACCTCCAACGTAATTGAAATGACCTAGAGAAATAGTATTCATTTTAACTCACTTGATTCAGTAGCTGCATAAGTGAATGGGATCTAATTTTTGACATATGCTCTGTAAAACTGAAAGGGCTGTCAAAATGTGATTTTGTTGTTTACACAGACGTTTCTTTTCATTTGACTTCTCATGTGAGAGCTTTCCTCTACAAACACACACAACAATTGTTTGAAGTTAAATTGAGAGGTAGCTGAGGCAGGAGATGATGTGCCTTGCCCAAGGTACTACAGAAGTCTCTATGCATCGGGTCTTTCTGACTCCAAGACTAGCTTTCTGTGCATTACCCCAAAGTGCCTTTTGCATGACTATTCTACAAAGAAATCCCCAAATCAAGAAAACAAATCATTTGTCATACCTGGTACCAGTCAATGTCATTGTAATCATAATCTCTAGGAAAAAATATCTGGCCTCTATCTATCTGATGTAATCTGCAAATTCAAACCTACTGAGAACAAGTATCACAACCAGATATACTTGGGTGTAAATTTTTCAATGCCTCACTTCTCCCAGGGGTATTTGGATTTCAAGCATTATATTTCTAATTGTGAAATGAAAAGCTTTGGAACTCTGATCAACATAATCGAACCAACCACAATTCCAGAGGACTCATAATGAAACATACTACCCTACCTCCAGAGAAGAGAGCTGATGGACTCAGAAGTCTTTTTTTTTTTTTTAACAAGGATAATGTGGGAATTTGTTTTGCTTAACTATATATATTTGTAACAGGTTTTGTTTTTTCTTACTTTCTCAATGGATGGGTGAAGGGAAGGTAAGAGGTAGAAAACTCAGAACTGAAAGTAAAATGAAATTGAATTTAAAAAATAAAGAAAGGCTTTGCTTCCCTTAAAGGAATTTTAGGCATCTGAGAACAGGTGGAAAGCATCCTTTTCTTCAGGGGCTAGGGAGGAGGGAGTGGGAGCTTTTCCTGTGCCCTTGAGATCATCACATCATTATTAGTAGTGCTTATATAGCACATTAATGTTTACAAAGATTTTACATATATTGATGTCATTTAAAGTGGCCATCTATTTAGCCTATATACAAAGTTAAACCCGTCTACAAGAAAATTGCATCCAAATGACACTCATTTCAAAGACCATAATATTAAAGTTCCACCCACCTGTAGGAGGAAATCTGGGCTTTGGTTCGGATTTGACACTCCACCTCTGATTGGTTAGTGTTCAGGAGATTTAGGAGATCCATTCGGTTATTGTGGTACAACAGTTCCTTCAAGAAGGACAGATTGTCCTCCTCCAACAAACCCTTTTCCTCCAGTATTTTGAACAGCCCCACTGCATCCTTGATAAATTCCTGCTTCTTCAATGGAATATGATCCAAGCAGAGGAATTTCAGACCAGCCAGATCTCGACTGTCTATTTCTTCTGCAATATTGTACAGAACCGCGTGGAAGTCCATGCTTATCAGAAAATTAGGAAGGTAAACTTCTAACCTGGAAAAAGAAACCTTTATTTTAGTTGAGGCTGATAAACTCTTAGCTGCATACAGCCTAAGGTCTCTTTCTTGTTCAGGGAGGGTATTTCCCACATTCAAAGTCTGTACTTTCTTGAATAGAATGAACTTAAAGTTACTCTTCCCAACTAGACTATAACAGCCATGAGAATCAGTACCATCTTTGAATATCCCAAAGCACTTACCACATAGTTATTGCTGGTTCATAGTTATTGCTTGATAAATGTTAGGCAAATGAATGGAATGAATACTGAACTAGGTATTCCCAAATCATTCCAATGCACATTTATCTTCTTCTCCATTTTCCCATAGCACTATCTTTTGACTTAAAGTCAGAAGGGACTTTACATGATTACTTAACTGTTTCATCTTTTCACCTCAACTAGTCTTTAAATACCTAGGAGGCAAGGATCGTGTCTTTTAACAGTTAGTCATTTTAATGGGGCAAATCATAGCAGGGCAAAATAAGCACTCGTGTTCAGAAGACCTGGATTCAAATCTGCTTACTAGCTGGGTGATCTTGAGCAGACCACCTTGCAAGACCTCTGAGTCCAGATTTCCTCATCTGTGAAATGGGGACAAGAATATTTCACAGCATTGATGAGAGGATCAAACAATATATTGCATGTAAAGTGCTTTGAAAACCTTAAAGTGCAATGCAAATGTGAGTTGTTATTAGTAGAAATATAATGTCCAGAATGCCTGCAATATTATGTCCATAATTGCAAGTTAGAAAAGAACACTGAGGGGGGCAGCTGGGTGGCGCAGTGGATAGAGCACTGGCCCTGAAGTCAGGAGGACCTGAGTTCAAATCTAACCTCAAACACTTCACACTAGCTGTGTGACGCTGGGCAAGTCACTTAACCCCGATTGCCTTACCGAAAAGAGTACTGAAAATTTTCTTCACTCTTTGATCTATGATCAGATCATCCACACCTCACAAGAATCCAACATACATGGATCATGCAAGCTTTTATCAGGATTATATCCAAGCCTATAATAACATACTTCACTCAAACCTTCTAGAATCCTATAAATAGCCAGGCATGGTAGTGAATGCTTATAATCCCTGCTACTGGGCAGACTAAGGCTGGTAGATTACTTGAGCCCAAAAGTTCTGAGGTGAAGTGGGTTAACCAATGGGGTGTTTGTAATAAGTCCTATACCAGTATAGTGAGTTATAAATCAAAGATCTGAACTTGTCTACAATGTCCAAATCCCTTTCCAAAGCAACCTAAGTTAGAATTGAATAGATTTCCAGGGTTTCTGACAGTTCGTATATGTTTGATTAAAAGTGAAGTTAATGCAACCCCTTTATCCCCTCCACCACCACCACCAGGGATGAGGGTGTTTGCCCTCACCAAACCTGAGAAGTCAGAAGAGAAAAGCTTCACCCAATAGGATCTTACCCCAAGAAATAATTCCAGGCTTTCTCATAAATGCAGCAGTTCGGAGAAAGGGCTGAGCACTTCTAAAGCCCAGCAAAAAATACAGATTAATTGAAAAGCTGAAGTACAGTCTAACCAGTGACTTCCTGTATGATGAAACATCCTGAATGTGACAGTTAGTGGGTTTGCCCTACTCATTACCAAGACTTTTTCTTGGTTCAGCAAAATCAACATTTCTCCAAGGCTTTTCTGGATTCACTCAGGCATACATACATAATTGTTTTAGGAAAAATAATACACACATGAAGCCCCAAAACATTCCCTCTGACTACCTTAGCTCACTTTGAACTGTTCTTGGGGGGGCCCAAGAGTTTTCAACATCTGGTGTCAGAAGTTTTTGCACACACACACACACACACACACACACAGAGACCCATTTTCACTCTTTCATTCAGCTATAGCATGTTGCACACGTTCAACTCCCCCCCTTTTTTAAATATTTGTATTATTAATGTAATAACTCTCAACAAAGACAAATGACCAAATCAAATGAATCAAATATCACTTACAAGCCTTTAACAAAGTCCAAAGAAACAAATTAACAAACAAGAGGCAAAAAATGGATTTGATCTGGGTACCTTTTCAAATTGATTTAAAGTTCTATCACCTTTGACTTTTTCCTTTAAAAAAAAAATACAGTTTTACTTAATGTTCTGATTCCATTCATTTCATTTTGAATCATTTCCTGTAGGTCTTTCTCTTTTTCCTTCTATTTATATATTTGTCATTTTATGTCACCAAATATTCCATTATATTAAATATACTATAATTAATTCAAGCTGAATTAATTCAACCATAATTATACCATAATTAATTCCCTTAATTAATTAGGCAAGCAAATATTTCTTAAGCTGCTACTAGGTGCCAGGTTGGGTTTAAAACCAACTTTCTCATTCTTTCCCTGACAACAGGTGGTTTTGTAGCATGAGAGGCTGTGTGGTATAATGGCTAGAGAACTGATCTGAGAGTCAGGAGGACCTAGATTCAAGTTAGTCCCCTGACACATATTGGCCTGGGACTCTGAGCAAATTATTTCACTTTTCAACGTCCAGGCAACTCTATAAGACTAGAAGGGGCAGAACAGGGAGGTATCAATCTGCCCTGGGAAAGGGAATATTCTCATTGAGTGTTCCTTATCTAGACTTTTTCAAAGTATTGATTTGGCTTTTCTGATGTGTTGTGTCTCATCTCCATCTTTTTTCTTTTTTTCCCCCTTTCTCTTTAAAAATTACTATTTTTCTTTAAGATGGTTCTCTGGGATGGGAGAGGAGAAAGGGCTATCTGGAGAAATTCTGGTGATGTGAAAAACAAAAGTTACCAATAAAATATTTTAAATTATTAATTTTTTATTATTATAGTTATAGTTATTATATTAACAATTATAACCATAACCCATTTAAATGGGATTATCATTATATTGATGATAATTATTATTAATAATTATTTTAATACTTATTTCTAAGGCAGAGCCAAAATGGCAGCATAGAGGGAGCATTCTAGCCAAACTCTCCTAACATTCTCTTCCAAACAACTTTAAAATAACAAAACAAATTCTTTAGCAGCATAGCCAACAAAAGGATGGTATGAGACATTTTTCTAGCCAAAGACAACTTAGAAGGTTGGAAGAAGAGGTCTGTTACACTGGGATAGGGACTGGCTGGGAGTAAAGAATGTTGACAACACCAACTGTGGGCCTTAGAGGCTGTGGCAACTGCATAAAACTATATTAGTAAGGAACCTCAAACTACCCTGTCTCAGAACTAGATAAATCTAACCATTAAATAAATAAGAAAGAAGTTAAAGAGATGAATAGAATTTCAGAAAAGTTAGATATGATAGACTTCTGAAGAAAAATGAATGGAAATAGAAGGGGTATGCCTTTTTCCTCAGCTGTATATGGTACCTTTACAAAACAACTAAGCATTAGGGCATAAAACCTTCACAAACAAATGCAGAAAAGCAGAAACATTAAATGTACCCTTTTTGTTCCTTAATGCAATAAAAATTACATTCAATAAAGGGCCTTGGAAGCACAGATTAAAAATTAGTTGGAAACAAATTAGTCTAATCCTAAAGAATGAGGAGGTCAAAGAACAAATAATAGTAACAATTAACAATTTCATTAAAAAGAATGACAACAATAAGACAACATTGGAAATTGAGGGAATATCTATCAATTGGAGAACAGCTAGACAAATTGTGATATGTGATCATGATGGAATACAATTGTGCTATAAGAAATGAAGAGTAGGATGGTTTCAGAAGAACCTGGGAAGACTTATGTGAACTGATGCAAAGTGAAGTGAGCAGAATCAGAATACTGTACCCAGTTAACAGCAATATTATAAGGATAATCAAATGTGAAAGACTTAGCTAATCGGATAAATACCATGATCCACAACAATTCCAAAAGACTCATGATGAAAAGTGCTAGCTACATCCAGAAAGAGAACTGATGATTTCGGAGTGCAGATTGAAGATAATGTTTTTCACTTTCTTTCTTTTTCTTGCCCCTTTTTTTGCAATGTAGCAAATATAGAAATATGTTTTGTGTGACTTCCTATGTATAATTCATATCATATTGCTTGCTTTCTCAATGGGTTGGGGAGTGACTACAGAAAGGAATAGAATTTGGAACACAAAATTTTAAAAAGGAATGTTAAAAATGTATTTCTCTGATTATTAGGGAAATTGAACATCTCATCATGTGGTCACAAATTTTTTGTATTTCCTCTTTTGAAAATGATCTATTCAATGAAGCGTATTACAATTTCAGAATGCTGAAGATGAAGTATACCTCTTGCTTTCAGAAGAGAAACCATGGACTGGCTACTGGTATAAAATGAGAACTACATTTTACAATGTGATGATTTGTGTCGCCTGCCTGTATGTACTTTTTACAAGGGAAGATTGATTGTATTGGCAGGATTAGGAGTCATTGGGAAGTGATAGTAATGCTTAAAAAAAAAAGAGCATCAAGAAAATAGTTATTTTAAAAAAGAAAGAAAATAATCTGTTAATGTCTTTTGAATGAATGAAAAAATTATTTAAGCATTTCCTATATTCCAGGCACTGTGCTAAGTCCTGGGGATACAAATACAAAACAGAGAAAGTCCCTGCTCTCAAGGAACTTACATTTTAATAGGGGAGAATAACATATAAGAGGCAGTAGCATCTAGGAAAGAGTGTTTTAGTCTAGGAAATCATAAGGAATGGATGGAAATAATAGACTAAAAGACTAAATAGACTAATAGACTCAAAGTTCCCAGAGCAAGAGGTGAAAAGTAGAAGAGGGAGGGAGAAAATTTAAAAATATATCCATAGTTCTTACTTCATATATTTAGACCTATAAGGGACTTCATATGGTTCACTCCCCTCATTTTACAGATAAGAAAACTGAGGCTAATAAAGATTAATTGACTTGTCCAAGTTTATTGGACAATATATATTGCTCTTATAGATATGTATCATTTCCTGATTCTACATTTCAAACCTTTGTCTGCTGTGTTTCCTACAAGTATTTTTCCAATCT